GTATATTTACTAATTAAGCCAGTATACATGTTACCATTAAATGGTAACCATCTTTATGTTACAGCAATGAATCATTTAAAATAGCATACTGTCAGAAAGGAAATTTCATTTTCATTATTTCTGTATCACTCTCATTTTTCGTTCATTTGTAAACAGAATATATATGCTCAGCTAAATCTTAAGTGTTGATTTTACACGGGCGAGCCAGCCGGTATGAATTTAGACTTGTCACACACATACCCGTATCCAGGTAAACTTTTGTTGTCCGATGCACCACTACTCGCTACTTTCTGAGGTGTGAAACTATATACGATAATCTAATTAATTTAAGTCCAGTGTTATTTCAAAATCTATCGAATAAAAATTACTTTTATAATCACCAATCAATTTTAATGTTCATGTGATCGCTGTTTTGTAATATAAGCTAATACTATTTACTAAAACGCCAAAATGTGCGATCCTATCGCACAGTAGTGCGTACGATACTGTACCGTGCGTGTTCGAGCAGGAAGTGTGTTGTACGTTGTGCGTCACCACAACTGTACATAACATACTTGTATCATGCAGTTTTCTATGTCTTTATGAAAAATCCCGATATTCAATATATACAATCATAAACACGAATATCGAATATAGACTGGATACGTTGTTAAATTGGTTTTTTTTTTATTTTGTTGTTGATCTTAATTTGAAAACCCGACATAGCTTTTCTTAATTGAACCAAAATTACATCCTGCGTCGTCTAAAATTCTCAATAAAAGGAATATGACTGATTTCTCTCTGAATATTGCAATTCTGTTGAAAGAATATCTGTTTTAGTATCCTGCTAGCAAACAAGAGAGGAACGGATGCTACATGTACCATGGATTGTATTCTATATACTCATAACACTGTGCGGTCGGAGTGCTTTGTCCTGCGTCATCTATCCGGATGTAGGTTCAAATATCTCCCGTTACTTCTACTTAGATATAAAGTTTACAGCGTCGCTCTTATAAAACCACTAGACCGTGATCACTGTCAGTTGTTTAACCTTCGAACGTATGCGTGTGTATCTTGCTTCCTTGTGTGTTTGTGTTATAGCTATATAATGTAGTTATTTCAGGATGAACTCCGCGACAATTCAGGTTCTGTTGATGTATTTTGGATTATATACAGTGAACTCTTCGGGTAAGTGTGTTTTTATGTGTTGGTATATATACTGTATATATTTTAGATTATATACAGTGAACTCTTCGGCTAAATGTGTTTTTATGTGTTGGTATATATACAGTATATATTTTAAGGTAATTATGTTTGTGTGTATTGTATTATATACAGTAAAAACGTCCAGGTACGTGTGTTTCAAAGTGGATGTTTTCGAAAAGGAAAATAACTCAAAAAAGTAAAATTAAAGATTAGTCATAACTTAAATAGTATGAATCTATGAACGAGTTTTTTTGTGTTTTTAGAACGATTGTGATGATTTAAAGTGTACACAAATAACAACGATCTAATTCCATGTATAGGAATAGTATAGCAATCAACATGGGCAATTACTTTAATACAGCTAAAATGTTTCTACTGCATCACTGCCGACGTCCTCAACCGAGACCCCTAGCTCGGTACACTCTCAGGATAGGGAGCGGGGGTGTGGTCCACAGTGATGATCAGTCACTGCGCGTCGGTGGTGAGTGTCCAGCTACTTGAGTCTTTCTTCATCCACACCCAGCATAAAAATCTCCCAATGCAGCTAGCATTCTCCACACAGACTGTACGGGGAAGCCCCTGCTTCCCTCACCGACCGGGTAGCTCCAAGTCTCCCACCCTTTTCCCCTGCACTCCATCAGCAATGCTTCATTCTTTCCTGTCTTCCGTTCGTGTGTTTCACTGCACCTTTCCTCCCATGGAACTGTCAGCTCTGTGACAATGAACATTCTTATCGTTGACGACCAAAGAACCATATCCGGCCAAAGATTAGTTGGTATAATGGAAATGTTAGTCTCTGATTAAGGTCTACCGCCAGCTACCAGTCTCCTGCCAGACAAAGAATTCCGGAAGTTCTCTGCGGTGATGGGGATGTTGGTGTCTCACCTTCCTTCACAAATCTAATCTGTGTATGTCTGGACCTTGGTTTGCTGGCCTTATTATTTTTTTCCCTTTCCATAATATCTGCCAACTCCCTTAAGACTTGGTTGTGGCGCCATGTATATTTTCCCTGTGCTAAGGCCACCTGACAAGAGGTAGGAATGTGTTGTAATGTTCCTCTCTATCCTGTCCACACAGGCGGCAATCAGGTGTTACTGCAAAGTCCCATCGGTGGAGATTTGCTGGTGTTGGTAACACGTCATACACCGACCGGAGGAAGATTTGCAGTTGGAATTGTGGGTGCCTCCATATTTCTGATCAGGAAAGTGCACGCGGTTCTGCATCCCATCTTCTCCACGCTTCTTGGGCTCCGAATTCAACTGCTTTGGCCTGCCTTTGTTCTTCCTCACCATTTCTAATTTCCTTCTGGATCATCCTTCGCCTTTATTCCGCACCAGCCTTTTTCCAGAAGGTGTTCTCAGTTGTACCTAAACCTTGGCTTCCTACTGCTGTTGTTCCAACAATGTCTTTGAGTATCAGTCTACTTTCCGCCTCGTCAACTGCTCTTGATGCTGACCATTTCCTGCCAGTTCGTACTTCCACGTGTCTGTTGATAATCCGCTCCATTTTCTCAACTGCTGAAGTCGTAATCTCATAAAGCATCAAGGGCCAGGCTGAGCGTGGATGGATGCCATGCTGATACATCCAAGTTTGAAGTTTCCCTGGGATACCTGTCTTGTCTATATTCCTTATTCCTTCTCTGACCTGCTGTTCTATTCTTTGGATGTTTGCCTTACCTCCTAATAATTCATCAAACCACTTCCCCAGACATTTGATGGAGTTTCCTATGATGGATGGCATTTCCTCCCCCTGTACCTTCAGTTGGAACTACTGCGTTACTCTGCCCTTCTTTATGACCATTGATCTTGACTTTCTGGGTTTGAAGGTCATTTTTGCCCAAGATACTGTTTCCTCGAGGGCTAAGAGTATCCATCTTGCCTGAATGTGAGTGTCTGTAGTATCGTCAGATCATCCATAAAGCATCAGTTCAGTGGTTGCCTAATGTGTTCGGACGTCTTTGGACCTCTTGTCCCTCTTTCTCCTGCTTTGATGATCATGTTCATACCCATTATGAAAAGGATTACTCAGATGGTGCATCCCGTCACGATGCCCTTCTGTAATTCCTGCTGGGATGTTGTGAAGATCTTGGTTGTAAAGAGAAGATGTATCCCACAGAAGTAGCTTTTGATCATTCTATGGAAATGTTCTGGTATGATAGTGTACCAAAGCCTCCTGGATGAGCATGTGCGGAATGATTCCATATGAGTTTGCAATATCCAACGATACTACTTTGAGATCCTTCTTGTTGACATTGGCTTCCCGGATAAGTTGGGTTACAATGTTAGTATGTTACACGCATCCTGAAAATCCAGGTATTCCTCCTTTCTGATATACATACTGCTTCTTTGTCATATATGTTGTCAGCCTCCTTGCAAGAACTGAGATAAATATCTTTCCTTCCACATTCAGTAGCGAGATAATACAAAACTGCTTTATGCCCTCTGAGTTCTCCTCCTTTGGAACAAAACAGCCCTCGGCCTTCTGCCAACAAAATGGAATCTTTCCTTTCCGCCATATAATCTTGAATAACTTCCAGAGATGTCGCAGGACCTTCGGATAACTCTTGTAGACCCTATATGGGATACCGTTGGGCCAAGGTGCTTGTCCAGATATAGCTTTCTTGACAATCTCTTTAATTTCCTTCAATGATGGTTCCTTTCCATCCAATGATACCCCTGTTTTTGGTACTGCCTCTATCCCCCACATGACCCGAATGGTCTCAACTGATGTTCATCTCCGTGCGGTTTTGAAAGATAGCTCTCAACTTCTTTTAAACTCTTTAGTGTTCCTGACTTTGACCATTCAAGTGTAGCTTTTGTAAATCTGTACGGGTTTGCCACAAACATTGATGTTTTCCCCCTCTCTCCCGCCTGGCTTTCCGTATTCTTTCTGTTCTCTGGAGGATTTCCTTTTCTCTCTTATTTCCCTTAGACCACTCTTCTCATCCTCGTCTGCTGTTCTGTGCTGTCTTGTAATGGTTCTGATCACTGCTCGGAGATTAAGTATCTCCTTATGGCGTCTGTTTGGTGTTGCTTGTTCCTTCTGTCTACTCCATCATTGCCTTGCTCCGAACCGCTCAAGTCAAACTGCGTACACTAATGTTGACAGTGATGTTATCTTTCTGTGCACATCACCTTCCAGCGTCCTCTGTAAGATCTTATCGAGGTCGCGGTCGAAGACCTCCCATCTTTTGTTCTCTGAAGATGTTCGCTGCACTACTTCCTTCCTGGTGTTTCTAATTTCCCCGTGGTAAATCTGAGTTGGGTTCTGTCTACCGGGTTCCGCCTCAATGCCGGCTTGATCTGCTTCGTTGGGTAAGAGGTCCTCAGCACTGTGGTGTTCTTCGTGGCTGTGGTCCTCCTCAGTCTTATCAGTAGTAGCTGTGCGTTCCCTCTTCTGCTTCTCAGGTCTACATTTGGCTTTCGCATGGTGAATCTTTAATCCCTTCAGGTTTTTACAAACTTTCCCGCAGTGACACTTTGTTTCTGCCGTAATCCCTGTCAGTGTCCGTTGTACAAGCCGAGTCGTTACCGTTATATCTGTCTCACTGGGTCTGTCATCCTCCCCCCACTCTCGGAAAACAATGTGTGTGTTGTTCTCCTGTCTGTGTTGTAGCTTGCTATGGTGTTCCCTCAAGGGGACTGTGTATTGGGCTGCCAACATACAGTGAAGCCATAAAAGGAATGGTCAGCAATATGGAAAATAAGCTACCCAACACTGTTAGCATTTCAGAAACCAAATATGTTTATATTGTTTTGAACCTGTTCTTAAACGACTTGGTTTGGTAAAGCTGTAGTATAGTACGTCTTAAAAGGATGCCGAACTGTAACTCACAGGGTGAATTGTCACAAATCATAAAATATCATCTTATTCATCCACATCATGCATATTTACCAATAAAGATGTTATTGTTTCTTCCGTTCATCACTTCTTGTAGGAAAAATGATCATTGACACAGATTCAACCACGTAACGCATGATGATCGCTGATGATTGGCAACATTTTGCAAGCCAATAAGTTCACGTGTCTTTGAACTGGTACATAAAAAACTAAAGAAAGTATGCCGAGCGTATTGACACTGGTCAAACGGTCACATGGCGCGTATCTATGCAGGCAAAAATGATTATTATTTGCTACGGAAAAACTTGTTCTAGAATATAATAAATTAATTGGGAGATTAGAAAAACTTCCTTTCACATGTTACAGCTTTCCTGTTTGTGTTGCTGAATTCAACAATATCCTTCCATTGAAGTATTATCAGTGTTTTTATCTAAATGGACTGAATATGTGTATGAATAATTGTGAGGAGGAGAAATGATCACGGATAGAGGTATTGGATTAATATGCTGTAAATTTTATAAACTTGATAAAGGTTGACTAAATGTTTAGAAAATACTAGCCTTACATAGGCTGATACACCACATTGTATACATAAGCTGTCATCGACAATAAAGCACATAATGTTTAAAATGAGTGTTGCCTGTTAATCTTTTTGTCTAGCCATACATGTTCAAGATTTCAGATAGCTATGTTTGAAAAAGAGTATATAAACATTGCCCATGTTTCTACATGAAACTCATTGTTCTTTGAAGGAAGAAATTTGTAGATATATGAGTGGTTGCCAATATGTTATTTGCAAATATGTCGCGTGTCCAATTTGATGTAGTGATGATGTATTGGTAGGGAAGCAAGCAGTCTAAAATATTCATGCCTGGTAGAACATGATAACGCTATTCCTGGCGCGTCTTATAGAGCCATGTTCCTTTTCATATCATGACAAAAGCTGCGGCTTGTCACTGAATCCTCTCGAGCTGGTCAATTTGTTGCGGAATGTCAAGATTCTGTACCGACGGGTGTACTCGAAGACTAAGATGGTAACGGCATGTGCCTTTGCTTTCAAGGTATAACCTCTTAAGCTCCTTCTCGGAAATCTCGGGAATCTCGGTGATCTGGTAGCTGTACCAGATATCTGATCATTATAATTTTGGCGGGGGATGTCGGAGGAAATGCAACAATGTAGGCGGCGTCATGGGATTTCTTCATATGTAGATACGGATGGCAGTGAATTTTTCCTGGTGAAAAGTCATTTGCCAGTCGTTCATTCATTTCTCTAGAGCCAAAAGATATTTCTGGAAAATGGTGGAGACCTATCTCATATTTGCTACATTTGAAAAGGAGACACTTACCCGTGATTGTACAACTTCAGTTCGGTCATTAATGTGTAACAGGAACAAGGGTGGTCCAAGGACCGGGAAACTCCAGAATCTAATTTACTATTTGGTACTTCATGCCTTCCACTAGTATATACTGCTCAGGATCTGGGTTAATGCGCTGTCTTGGACTTCATAGTATACCTTCCAATGGAGAAGTTGTTGATGAGGAACCTTATAAAAAACTTCGGAGAAATCCAACAGTATGTTATCGACTTCTGCAATCTCAAAGATGGTAAACATTAATTGGGTTTCGCATGATTCCTTACTGAGGAAATCATGTTGCCCTTCTGTGGTGATGGAAATAAAGATTGAAGCGTTCCTTAATGTTGGAGTGAAAGATATATTAAAAGAGTTTAGAACAGATAGCCAGTCTGAAATAGGAGGCCGCGCTCTTGTCGCCTTTCCTAAAGATGAGAACTAATTATCTGGATATGGTCTCTTGAAATATGTGGGTTGTATCGACAGCCAGTTCAGAAGTTACATTCTGGACAAGTTGCTTTATTAGACTTTGGGTTCTTCAGTAATTTTTCCTCTCCCGGGGCGGTGACAATGAGTGAAGGCATTCTACTTTGAGACTATGATCTTTATCTAGAAGACAATAACAAGGTTCAAGGTATGTTCGGTTTTAATTCCATCAATTAATCATAACATCAAGTTAACGTGACGCTTGAATTTTATACCTAAGTTTTGGAACAAACTTAATGAAAAGCAATAATTGAATATTAGCCTTGTTGTACATGATATTTAATCTCCAGTTATAATTTTTCTCCTTCAAATGAACCTACTCCTTATGTAATGGTCACTGTCAACTTCTCGGCTTAATTTTTTACCTTGTATCTATCTAAAATTATAAAGGTTCACAGATGATAGCGATTTAGTAACTGTACCCGGAAGTTTTCCGTCTATAATCTACAACAGTCTTCAATATCTTAACCATACAAGGACTTATTAACACTTCCGTAATGTCGCACTTAGGATGCGTACACACATTTTCATGCGACAGTCAATTCAGCAATAGTACTCATTGATTTGATAAAACATGCAATTTGTAAAAACCAGCCGTGTTTCTAACGAAAACTACACAATACCTCATTAATTTTTACAGCTTAACCCTTTTGCAACATATTAAAACACTTCCTTCATATCACAACAACTCTTTAGTCACAGTTTAGTCAGTCGAAGCTGTACAACTCCTTCAGTTCAAAATCTGATTACACTTTAAATACGTCTTTTTATGCCAGCGCTTGATACGTAATTATATCTAATTCATACAACCATCGTTTTATTAATCAAATAAATGCTCTCTTTTAGTAGTTGGTTGATTGATCATACAATGAGCACGATTAAATGTTATATAACATGTATAACATAAATGTATATATGTGTATGTATATCACACGTGTACATACATACATGTTCGTATATCACACGTGTACATACATAACTGTATGTATATCACACGTGTACATACATAACTGTATGTATATCACACGTGTACATACATAACTGTACTTATATCACACGTGTATATACATAAATGTATATATATCACACGTGTATACATAAATGTACGTATATCACACGTGTACATACATACATGTACGTATATCACACGTGTACATACATAATTGTATGTATATCACACGTGTACATACATAATTGTATGTATATCACACGTGTACATACATAATTGTATGTATATCACACGTGTACATACATAACTGTACGTATATCACACGTGTATATACACAAATGTATATATCATACGTGTACATACATAATTGTATGTATATCACACGTGTACATACATAATTGTATGTATATCACACGTGTACATACATAATTGTATGTATATCACACGTGTACATACATAACTGTACATGTATATCACACGTGTATATACACAAATGTATATATCACACGTGTACATATATAAATGTACGTATATAACACGTGTACATACATAAATGTATGTATATAACACGTAGAGCAGGCGTATATCTCCATTGATGACCCGTATCCTATACGTTTCTTTATCCAGTTGTACGTCATACGTGTCAACACACTTGTATACAGCCTATTCAACATGAACAAAGCACGTAAAATATTTCATATGTTGTATAAAAAAATACGGACATGACAAATTTGTTTACCTTCAAACTGGTGAAACCTTGTCTTGAAGGAATGCAAAAAAAGGATAGTTTTCTAAATTTCTGTACAGCGTCGAAGATCATAGATTATTTGATTACAAATTTAGTTAAACATTTCAAACATAAACGTATGATATGATACCGTTTAATTGGTTAAATTATGGACTTTGTTAAAGACAAATGAAATGAAAATTCGAGTAGACTGATTAATGATTGTTAGTTATTTAAACATATATATATGTTACCAATAAAACATTAGAAATTGTTGTCAATATTTAAAAACTACTTATCAGTGGTAATTATTGACGATGCCTTTATCTGACATTATGTAAAAAGTCAACTTAATCAGTTATTGAAAGCACGTGTATAGAACCAAATCTAAGAATTGGGACAAACAGTAGAGTTTCGAACACATTCAACACAACCTTTATAAAATATATCTTTTTGATGTTTTGTAAAATGAAACCATAACACAAGACATAAGAGTGCTCTCTTTTACCAGCCGTTGTGGATTGGATTTATAATAAAAAAAATATTATTAGCGCTTAATTCACAATTATATAACAGAGATGTTGGCTAAGCTTATCAGACTTTTTCATTTGTTTAAACTACAGTAAAGCAATACACGAGCCATAGCGTGATTATACGTTCTGTTAATATGCAAATAATACATTCTTTTGATATGATAACCATTCATCCTTTTAATAAGCTGATAATACATTTTTTTAATATGCTGATTAAACATTCTTTTAATATGCTTATAATACATTCTTTTTATATACTGATAATAGATTCTTTTAATTTGCTGATAATGCATTCCTTTAATATGATGATAATACATTCTTTTTATATGATGATAATATATATTCTTAATATGATGATAACATATTCTTTTAGTATGTTGAATATAGTTTAATATAAATGTCATTTTTTCGTCGATCACTACATTATTGTTTTTTGTTTTTTTTTCTTATATTAATTGATTTTATTATCATGTTGTAACATACTTTTTGCTATTGTATAACATGACAGTCACGTTGTAACATACTTTTTGCTATTGTATAACATGACAGTCACGTTGTAACATACTTTTTGCTATTGTATAACATGACAGTCATGTTGTAACATACTTTTTGCTATTGTATAACATGACAGTCATGTTGTAACATACTTTTTGCTATTGTATAACATGACAGTCACGTTGTAACATACTTTTTGCTATTGTATAACATGACAGTCACGTTGTAACATACTTTTTGCTATTGTATAACATGACAGTCACGTTGTAACATACTTTTTGCTATTGTATAACATGACAGTCACGTTGTAACATACTTTCACGTTGTAACATACTTTTTGCTATTGTATAACATGACAGTCACGTTGTAACATACTTTTTGCTATTGTATAACATGACAGTCACGTTGTAACATACTTTTTGCTATTGTATAACATGACAGTCACGTTGTAACATACTTTTTGCTATTGTATAACATGACAGTCACGTTGTAACATACTTTTTGCTATTGTATAACATGACAGTCACGTTGTAACATACTTTTTGCTATTGTATAACATGACAGTCACGTTGTAACATACTTTTTGCTATTGTATAACATGACAGTCATGTTGTAACATATTGTTTGCTATTGTATAACATGACAGTCACGTTGTAACATACTTTTTGCTATTGTATAACATGACAGTCATGTTGTAACATCCTTTTTGCTATTGTATAACATGACAGTCACGTTGTAACATACTTTTTGCTATTGTATAACATGACAGTCATGTTGTAACATACTTTTTGCTATTGTATAACATGACAGTCACGTTGTAACATACTTTTTTGCCATTGTATAACATGACAGTCACGTTGTAACATACTTTTTGCTATTGTATAACATGACAGTCACGTTGTAACATACTTTTTGCTATTGTATAACATGACAGTCACGTTGTAACATACTTTTTGCTATTGTATAACATGACAGTCATGTTGTAACATACTTTTTGCTATTGTATAACATGACAGTCATGTTGTAACATTCTTTTTGCTATTGTATCACATGACAGTCACGTTGTCCAGTGACTCTACACATACAACAAACACTTTTGCATTTTTTTACATGGCCTATTGCGACGCCAGCTTTTTATAATGAAATGACTTAACACACTCACAGACAGAAATGTGATGTAATAATGCAGACCAAAAGCATAGAGGTTTGACGTGGAAATGCCCGTTTCCTACAATATTTGACTGAATAATCAATTAAAAGTGATCTTAAATTCGTTTACACTTGATCTGTGATCTATGACACTCGCCGCATTTTTTCTTTTGTTTATTTAAGATCTAAGGTTCGTTAGAATTAAACTTTGTTAGACTCATTTTATATTCTATATGTAATATAAGTGTTGTTTATATATTCAAAATATTTGGTTTGGTTTGATATTCATTGATATTAGCAGAATATTTAGGTAACATTGCTTTTTTAAAAAATGATTTAATGGCCTTGAATATAGGATATTATCTTTTAGTTCACATATATTTCTAGAAAACCAAAATATCAGTATAGTGTTATTTGGTATCAGTTGTCGTGGTCTATATCTATATTGAATAGTTATTTTGTTATGTCTAACTGAGTGATAATTACCTTTTTTACAGATATAAATATCAATAGATTTTTTTTAAAGTTTGCTTCTCTTTAATTGTAGAAAACGTTGCATTTGAAAAGCCTGCCTGGCTGTCATCAACATGGAACGACAAATCAAAAGCTGAGAATGTGGTGGATGGAACGAAATATAGTAACGAAGACACATTTTTTGACAATTGCGTCCACACCAAATATGAACCCTTTCCTCGCTGGTGGGTAAACCTCACCGAGGATTGCACTATAGCAAGGATTGATATCAACTACAGACGCAGTAAGTATGATAATCATCGCACAACTACTTATTAAAAAATAACATCACCTAGATAGCCATAGTGAGTATCATACATATTTCAAAAAATAATTAGAAATGTCCAGATAAAAGGCATCTTCCGGACAAATCAGGATTCAGTTATAATTGTTTGATAAATGCTTTCATAACTTACTAATATTTCTATGGGAATCGCACGCATCAATAGAAGTCAACAACCAACTTACGATAGTTAATTTGTAGATGTTTTTGTATAGAGCTAGTTAGTTCGATTTACAAAACAAACAAAAATTATCCTAATCGGGTAACAATAGCTTCCACGTGTGCAGTGTAGTGCAAAACAAAGTAGAGTTTACACACTAGTTGACAAAAGATATTTACATTTTGACAGTAAGATTTTTCTGTTTGCGCTACTTAAAAATGAGTATCATCATTCGTTGGACGTTATACGCACTGATGGAAGAGTCCGACAAGTGATGCATGTTTGTGAGGTTATCTTTTCAGATATTTACATTTCATTTTTTTTCAAGTATCGTAATTTATGAAGAAAAGTTTCACAAAATGCAAAAAAAAGAACATTTTCAACAGCGTATTGATGACAATTTATACCGCTAACGCAAGGTGATCCGACTTCTTATGACCCAGACCCAGATACGTCGTCATAAGCCCAAATAGAGAATACACGTTGTAGACGTAAAATCGACAGCCATATTTGTACATGTAGTAAGTACATATGTATTCGAGATAAATAAAACGAGAGAAAAATGGTCCTTTCCAATAAACTTTGGTCAGATTATATAAATAATTTGTGTATTGTCTGCAATAGTGTTACATATATGATGGCTGTGAAAGTTGTAAGATATTCAGAGGAAACGTATTGTTTGTGGTCTTATTATAATGATATACATGTAAATTCTTATCAAGCGAAGAATCTGTAAACCAAAAATACTGGTACTAACTACAAATATCTGCGTTAAATAAATGTCTATGTAAGATTCTTGCAAATGTTTCATCATTCTTTTTATTAATAGGTATTTCAATAATAAGATCAAGTTGTTCTGAAACACTTCGTGTAGTGGAGTTTCCGTACTTGTTATTTATTGTAAATTAAAAACGTGGTCACATTATTACCATTTACACCTGTTGATTTAAAGATGGATATTTCTGGTAGAAAAAAATAACATCTTGTGATGCTGGCAAAGAATTGTCAACATTTGGGAAAATTGAAATATTTTGATATTAATACAGGACAAAGACTGGTTCTAAACTCGATAATCATTCTTTTGGCTAAACTATTTCCGTCTACAACACACACTGGTGATATGATCTAATCTTCGTAATGGAAGACATTTTGAGGCGTTTAGTATATTTCAGGAATATATTTAATGTCGTTTTAAACACTCATCAAACTGTTTTTAATTACATCATATTGATCGATTTTGTGTCAGATCACGCCCGCAGAATGACTGGATACAAACTCATTGTATCAAACACAGAATCCACCAACCAGTGGAACAGGGGTCACCAGATAGCGGACCACATATGTCGTGACGAGACCAGAAGAAACCCGCCATTTCAGCAAACCGTTTCATGTCTGACCAGAGGACGCTTTATCACATACGCCGACGACCAGACAACACATGGTGATCCAAACCCTTTCGTCGAGCTTTGCGAGTTGGAGGCTTTTGGTGAATCGAAAAAAAATCTTCGTCAATTATAACATTATGAATCTGGACCACAACGTTCTTGAGATTTATATCCTTTGTTAGGCGTATTTGGGTTATTTTGTGTGTATTTTTTTAATAGTAGCAGTAGAGCATCGGGTGACATAACTTGTCGCAAATAACCTTGCAATAAAACGCGGATTTCAGTAGTTAAAAAGTAGTTCACAGTCATAAAGAAGGTCTAATTTATAATGGTCTCAAGTAACAAGTAATAACTATATTTTGGTATCATACACCTATATTTACAATAATATATTGTTTAAGGGTATGCCAGGATGGCCAGACACTACTGCAGATTTACTCATTTTCAACAATTTGTCAATTATTTCCACTGGACATGTCATTTTTTTTCACGGTGCATTGAACGACCCGTAAGAAATGACAAATTATGCTGCGCATCCGTGACTATTATTAATATTTTCCGCCCGAACCCGACGAAATATAATTGTTATTCGTCAACGGACAAAGAGAGTCCTCACTATACAAAAGTAGAATGCTCTGATAAACATAATCAGATATACTTTACGGTTATTAGATTAGAAACAAGTGGGATACACTGTAAGTCATTCTAGGAACAACATATAAATAACCATAGGATTATATTATTAAACATATTTAATATGAATTCTTTTTATATTAACATCAATACAAACATTAGTTCGCGTTTCTTCTAACATTAAAAAAGAGGACAATATCATTAGCAATAGGGGCTCAATAGTCTGACAGTAAGGCTCGAGGAAGACTAATGACATGGTCTCGCTAGTCATACAGTAAGGCTTGGGAAGACCAATGACATGGTCTCGCTAGTCAGACAGTAAGGCCCGGGGAAGATTAATAACAGGGTCTCACTAGTCAGAAAGTAAGGCCCGAGGAAGACTAATGACATGGTCTCGCTAGTCAGAGAGTAAGGACCGGGGAAGACTAATGACAGGGTCTCGCTAGTCAGACAGTAAGGTCCGGGGAAGGCTCATAACAGGGTCTCGCTAGTCAGACTGTAAGGCCTTGGGAAGACTAATGACAGAGTTTCGCTTGTCAGACAGTAATGACCGGGAAAGGCTAATGACAGGGTCTCGCTAGTCAGACAGTAAAGCCCGAGGAAGACTAATGACAGGGTCTCGCTAGTCAGACAGCAAGGCCTTGGGAAGACTAATGACAGTGTCTCGCTAGTCAGACAGCAAGGCTCGAGGAAGATTAATAACAGGGTCTCACTAGTCAGAGAGTAAGGACCGAGGAAGACTAATGACAGTGTCGCACTAGTCAGAGAGTAAGGACCGGGGAAGACTAATGACAGTGTCTCACTAGTCAGAGAGTAAGGCTCGAGCAAGACTAATGATAGGGTCTCGCTAGTCAGACAGCAAGGACCGGGAAGACTAATGACAGGGTCTCGGAAGACTAATGACAGTGTCTCGCTAGTCTGACAGGAAGGCCCGATTAAGGCTAATAACAGGGTCTCGCTAGTCAGACAGTAAGGCCCGATTAAGGCTAATAACAGGGTCTCGCTAGTCAGACAGTAAGGTCCGGGGAAGGCTCATAACAGGGTCTCGCTAGTCAGACTGTAAGGCCTTAGGAAGACTAATGACAGGGTTTCGCTTGTCAGACAGTAATGACCGGGAAAGGCTAATGACAGGGTCTCGCTAGTCAGACAGTAAAGCCCGAGGAAGACTAATGACAGGGTCTCGCTAGTCAGACAGCAAGGCCTTGGGAAGACTAATGACAGTGTCTCACTAGTCAGACAGCAAGGCCCGAGGAAGATTAATAACAGGGTCTCACTAGTCAGAGAGTAAGGACCGAGGAAGACTAATGACAGTGTCGCACTAGTCAGAGAGTAAGGACCGGGGAAGACTAATGACAGTGTCTCACTAGTCAGAGAGTAAGGCTCGAGCAAGACTAATGATAGGGTCTCGCTAGTCAGACAGCAAGGACCGGGAAGACTAATGACAGAGTCTCGCTAGTCATACAGTAAGGCTCTCGGAAGACTAATGACAGTGTCTCACTAGTCAGACAGCAAGGCCCGAGGAAGATTAATAACAGGGTCTCACTAGTCAGAGAGTAAGGACCGAGGAAGACTAATGACAGTGTCGCACTAGTCAGAGAGTAAGGACCGGGGAAGACTAATGACAGTGTCTCACTAGTCAGAGAGTAAGGCTCGAGCAAGACTAATGATAGGGTCTCGCTAGTCAGACAGCAAGGACCGGGAAGACTAATGACAGAGTCTCGCTAGTCAGACAGTAAGGCTCTCGGAAGACTAATGACAGTGTCTCACTAGTCAGACAGCAAGGCCCGAGGAAGATTAATAACAGGGTCTCACTAGTCAGAGAGTAAGGACCGAGGAAGTCTAATGACAGTGTCGCACTAGTCAGAGAGTAAGGACCGGGGAAGACTAATGACAGTGTCTCACTAGTCAGAGAGTAAGGCTCGAGCAAGACTAATGATAGGGTCTCGCTCGTCAGACAGCAAGGACCGGGAAGACTAATGACAGGGTCTCGCTAGTCAGACAGTAAGGCTCTCGGAAGACTAATGACAGTGTCTCGCTAGTCTGACAGGAAGGCCCGATTAAGGCTAATAACAGGGTCTCGCTAGTCAGACAGTAAGGCCCGATTAAGGCTAATAACAGGGTCTCGCTAGTCAGACAGTAAGGCCCGGGGAAGATTAATAACAGGGTCTCACTAGTCAGAAAGTAAGGCCCGAGGAAGACTAATGACATGGTCTCGCTAGTCAGACAGTAAGGTCCGGGGAAGGCTCATAACAGGGTCTCGCTAGTCAGACAGTAAAGCCCGAGGAAGACTAATGACAGTGTCTCACTAGTCAGAGAGTAAGGCTCGAGCAAGACTAATGATAGAGTCTCGCTAGTCTGACAGGAAGGCCCGATTAAGGCTAATAACAGGGTCTCGCTAGTCAGACAGTAAGGCTCTCGGAAGACTAATGACAGTGTCTCGCTAGTCTGACAGGAAGGCCCGATTAAGGCTAATAACAGGGTCTCGCTAGTCAGACAGTAAGGCTCTCGGAAGACTAATGACAGTGTCTCGCTAGTCTGACAGGAAGGCCCGATTAAGGCTAATAACAGGGTCTCGCTAGTCAGGCAGCAAGGCCTTGGGAAGACTAATGACCGGGTCTCGCTAGTCAGACAGCAAGGCCCGAGGAAGACTAATGACACGGTCTCTCATACTTAAGTGATCAGGGAAGACTAATGACAGGATTTGTTATATTAGTACCAGTTTCTGTTGTGCAGTATAATTCATTTTTTAAATTTTATCTTAGCTCATGGTATATGTATAAGTAGATTTGGTGCTATTCGAGAATGTTGATTCTCATAAAATCACAATATTACTCTTTACCATTTGATTTCAACATGGAATTTTAATAGGTTGCCCTACTGGATGGTATGGACATGGAAACTGTGCGGAACAGTGCCCTGCAGGATGCTGGGAAGGAGTTTGTAACCCAGACAACGGCATTTGCTTGAATAGATGCAAAAGTGGACTACAAGGAGATTTCTGCAATACAAGTGAATATAATCTTTACACTATACTCAAAGTACTACCAACAATATCATACGTGAAGTTCATTCCAGATCCGAAGATGTTGCTGTATGATAACAGAACATTTGCAATCGGTCACAAAGAGATAACGGCGAACGTTTTCCTAAAAATGAATGATTCTTGACAACTGGTTTAGTTAAATTATTATACTGTAGTTCATTTTTGGAAGATGTTTAAAGTACCACATCAGTTTGGTACTGATCCTCTTAAATATGTATATGTTTTTATAATGTAATTAACAGCATGTGGCTATGGCAGCTTCGGTGTAGGATGTAAACATACTTGCAACTGTCTCAACGACACATGTTATCCGGAAAACGGAACTTGTCCAACCGGCAGATGTCAGCGGGGATGGAACGGTACAGCATGTGACCAACGTAGGTATATGGTAAAACACGTAGGTATATGGTAAAAAACGTAGGTATATGGAAAAACGTAGGTATATGGTAAAACGTAGGTATATGGTAAAAAACGTAGGTATATGGTAAAACGTAGGTATATGGTAAAAAACGTAGGTATATGGTAAAAAATGTATGTATAAGGTAAAATTTAGGTATATGGTTAAAAACGTAGGTATATGGTAAAAACGTAGGTATAAGGTAAAAACGTAGGTATATTGTAAATTGTAGGTATATGGTAAAAACGTAGGTATATGGAAAAACGTAGGTATATGGTAAAAAATGTATGTATAAGGTAAAATTTAGGTATATGGTTAAAAACGTAGGTATATGGTAAAAAACGTAGGTATAAGGTAAAAACGTAGGTATATTGTAAATTGTAGGTATAAGGTAAAAACGTAGGTATATGGAAAAACGTAGGTATATGGTAAAAAATGTATGTATAAGGTAAAATTTAGGTATATGGTTAAAAACGTAGGTATATGGTAAAAAACGTAGGTATATGGTAAAAAACGTAGGTATATGGTAAAAAACGTAGGTATATGGAAAAACGTAGGTATATGGTAAAAAACGTAGGTATATGGTAAAAACGTAGGTATATGGTAAAAAACGTAGGTATATGGTAAAAAACGTAGGTATATGGTAAAAAACGTAGGTATATGGTAAAAAACGTAGGTATATGGAAAAAAGTAGGTATATGGAAAAACGTAGGTATATGGTAAAATGTAGGTATATGGTAAAAGACGTAGGTATAAGGTAAAAAAAACGTAGGTATATGGTAAAAAACGTAGGTATATGGTAAAAAACGTAGGTATATGGTAAAAAACGTATATGGTAAAAAACGTAGATATATGGTAAAAAATGTATGTATAAGGTAAAATTTAGGTATATGGTAAAAACGTAGGTATATGGTAAAAAACGTAGGTATATGGAAAAAACGTAGGTATATGGTAAAACGTAGGTATATGGTAAAAAACGTAGGTATATGGTAAAAACATAGGTATAGGACAATTGTAGGCTAAACATAGATATCGGGTAAACAGATGTTATGTCAGGATGTTTGAATATCAGTATTAATCAAGCTACTTGTTCTGTTGAACATCAGTACTAATCAAAATAAATAACCTGCTAGGATTTTTTGAACCTTTTTAAACATGATCTTTAATCTAGTACATCAAGTTACTTGATGTATATAACGTAGAAAGCAAAGAATGTGATTTAGCTGTTTTTACTACTAAACAACCTCTCTAACCAATGGGAGTAAAATAACGTCAGATATCTGATAACAATAATTATAACGTGTACATGTTTACATTATTCATCTATAATTAACGGTAGCGTGTGGTGACCCAACGTTTGGACATAATTGTGAGGAAACGTGTCATTGCCGACTGGGATCATGTGACTCCGTGAATGGGACTTGTTCATCTGAAGGATGTGACCCAGGGTGGCAAACAGAATCTTGTAGCAAGGGTAAGTATGATATCTTCACCAGTAAAATTCCAAACGATGTCATGTGATTCTTTTTTAAATCATATTTCAGAATAACATAATGACGAGGAAATATTGACTTGATGTAGTAGGTCATAGAAAATGTTCGATAACATTTGGAATCACCTGGAAAAGTTGACCTTTAACACGAATGGTATCTAAAGGTATTATTCTGTCAATAAATCATCGACATGAAAACTATACAAGTAACTACACACACATCTATAAAGACATTTATGGTATTATCTAAGTGATTCGTTTTTTAGTGTACAACTCATATAAAACTGGCAGTTTGCTAGGTTATAAGATACGTTAGTTCTCTCATTCGGCAAATAATGAATTTAGTTCCTTTCTTAAGTGAAATCAGTTCATTTAACTTGGTCAATCAGTAGCGGTTTAATCCTCTCTCTGACAGCGAAGTTTGTCCTTCCTATGACACGTTCAGTAGAGAAATTATTTATCTCCCTTATATGGTAAAGAACGACGTCAGTTCCTTCCCTTTTACGGTTAGTAGCGAAGTTAGTTCCTTCCCTTATATGGTCAGTAGCGAAGTCAGTACCTTCCCTAATACGGTCAGTATGGCAGTTAGTTCCTTCCCTTACACAACCATTAACGACGTCAGTTCCTTCCCTTACACAGTCAGTAGCGAAGTTATTTCCTTCGCTTACACGGTCAGTAGCGAATTTAGTTCCTTCCCCTACACGGTCAGTAGCGAAGTTAGTTACTTCCCTTAGACAACCATTAACGACGTCAGTTCCTTCCCTTTTACGGTTAGTAGCGAAGTTAGTTCCTTCCCTTATATGGTCAGTAGCGAAGTTAGTATCTTCCCTAATACGGTCAGTATGGCAGTTAGTTCCTTCCCTTACACAGTCAGTATGGCAGTTAGTTCCTTCCCTTACACAACCATTAACGACGTCAGTTCCTTCCCTTACACAGTCAGTAGCGAAGTTAGTTCCTTCCCTTACACGGTCAGTAGCGAAGTTAGTTCCTTCCCCTACACGGTCAGTAGCGAAGTTAGTACCTTCCCTTATACGGTCAGTATGGCAATTAGTACCTTCCCTTACACAGTCAGTAGCGAAGTTAGTTCCTTCCCTTGCACAGTCAGTAGCGAAGTTAGTTCCTTCCCTAACACTGTCAGTATGGCAGTTAGTTCCTTCCCTTAAAAAACCATTAACGACGTCAGTTCCTTCCCTTACACTGTCAGTATGGCAGTAAGTTCCTTCCCTTAAACAACCATTAACGACGTCAGTTCCTTCCCTTACACAGTCAGTAGCGAAGTTAGTTCCTTCCCTTGCACAGTCAGTAGCGAAGTTAGTTCCTTCCCTTACACTGTCAGTATGGCAGTTAGTTCCTTCCCTTAAAAAACCATTAACGACGTCAGTTCCTTCCCTTACACTGTCAGTATGGCAGTTAGTTCCTTCCCTTAAACAACCATTAACGACGTCAGTTCCTTCCCTTACACGGTCAGTAGCGAAGTTAGTTCCTTCCCTTACACTGTCAGTATGGCAGTTAGTTCCTTCCCTTACACTGTCAGTAGCGAAGTTAGTTCCTTCCCTTACAGTCAGTATGGCAGTTAGTTACTTCCCTTACACGGTCAGTAGCGAAGTTAGTTCCTTCCCTTACACGGTCAGTAGCGAAGTTAGTTCCTTCCCTTACACGGTCAGTAGCGAAGTTAGTTCCTTCCCTTACACGGTCAGTAGCGAAGTTAGTTCCTTCCCTTACACAGTCAGTAGCGAAGTTAGTTCCTTCCCTTATACGGTCAGTATGGCAGTTAGTTCCTTCCCTTACACGGTCAGTAGCGAAGTTAGTTCCTTCCCTTACACGGTCAGTAGCGAAGTTAGTTCCTTCCCTTATACGGTCAGTATGGCAGTTAGTTCCTTCCCTTACACTGTCAGTAGCGAAGTTAGTTCCTTCCCTTACACGGTCAGTAGCGAAGTTAGTTCCTTCCCTTACACGGTCAGTAGCGAAGTTAGTTCCTTCCCTTACACGGTCAGTAGCGAAGTTAGTTCCTTCCCTTACACTGTCAGTAGCGAAGTTAGTTCCTTCCCTTACACGGTCAGTAGCGAAGTTAGTTCCTTCCCTTAGCATGGCAGTTAGTTCCTTCCCTTACACGGTCAGTAGCGAAGTTAGTTCCTTCCCTTACACGGTCAGTAGCGAAGTTAGTTCCTTCCCTTACACGGTCAGTAGCGAAGTTAGTTCCTTCCCTTACACTGTCAATAGTTCCTTCCCTTACAAAACCAGAAGTTAGTTCCTTCCCTTACACTGTCAGTATGGCAGTAAGTTCCTTCCCTTAAACAACCATTAACGACGTCAGTTCCTTCCCTTACACGGTCAGTAGCGCAGTTAGTTCCTTCCCTTACAGTCAGTATGGCAGTTAGTTCATTCCCTTACACTGTCAGTAGCGAAGTTAGTTCCTTCCCTTACACAGTCAGTAGCGAAGTTAGTTCCTTCCCTTACACGGTCAGTAGCGAAGTTAGTTCCTTCCCTTACACGGTCAGTAGCGAAGCTAGTTCCTTCCCTTACACGGTCACTAGCGAAGTTAGTTCCTTCCCTTACACAGTCAGTAGCGAAGTTAGTTCCTTCCCTTACACAGTCAGTAGTGAAGTTAGTTCCTTCCCTTATACGGTTAGTTCCTTCCCTTTTAGTCAGTCTAGTTCCTTCCCTTACACCTAGCGAAGTTATGGTCAGTAGCGAAGTTAGTTCCTTCCCTTACACGGTCAGTCGAAGTTAGTTCCTTCCATACGGTCAGTATGGCAGTTAGTTCCTCCCCTTACACGGTCAGTAGCGAAGTTAGTTCCTTCCCTTACACGGTCAGTAGCGAAGTTAGTTCCTTCCCTTACACGGTCAGTAGCGAAGTTAGTTCCTTCCCTTACACGGTCAGTAGCGAAGTTAGTTCCTTCCCTTACACGGTCAGTAGCGAAGTTAGTTCCTTCCCTTACACGGTCAGTAGCGAAGTTAGTTCCTTCCCTTACACGGTCAGTAGTAGCGAAGTTAGTCACTAGCGAAGTTAGTTCCTTCCCTTACACGGTCAGTAGCGAAGTTAGTTCCTTCCCTTACACGGTCAGTAGCGAAGTTAGTTCCTTCCCTTACACGGTCAGTAGCGAAGTTAGTTCCTTCCCTTACACGGTCAGTATCAGTAGCGAAGTTAGTTCCTTCCCTTACAGTTAGTTCCTTCCCTTCAGTAGCGAAGTTAGTTCCTTCCCTTACACGGTCAGTAGCGAAGTTAGTTCCTTCCCCTACACGGTCAGTAACGAAGTTAGTTCCTTCCTTTATACGGTCAGTATGACAGTTAGTTCCTTCCCTTACACGGTCAGTAGCGAAGTTAGTTCCTTCCCTTACACGGTCAGTAGCGAAGTTAGTTCCTTCCCTTACACTGTCAGTAGCGAAGTTAGTTCCTTCCCTTACACGGTCAATAGAGAAGTTAGTTCCTTCCCTTACACGGTCAGTAGCGAAGTTAGTTCCTTCCCTTACACGGTCAGTAGCGAAGTTAGTTCCTTCCCTTACACTGACAGTAGCGAAGTTAGTTCCTTCCTTTATACTGTCAGTAGCGAAGTTAGTTCCTTTCCTAACACTGTCAGTATCGAAGTTAGTTCCTTCCCTTACACGGATAGTAGCGAAGTTAGTTCCTTCCCTTACACGGTCAGTAGCGAAGTTAGTTCCTTCCCTTATACGGTTAGTTCTTTCCCTTACACGGTCGGTAGCGAAGTTAGTTCCTTCCCTTACATGATCAGTAGCGAAGTTAGTTCCTTCCCTTACACGGTCAGTAGCGAAGTTAGTTCCTTCCCTTACACGGTCAGTAGCGAAGTTAGTTCCTTCCCTTACACGGTCAGTAGCGAAGTTAGTTCCTTCCCTTATACGGTCAGTATGGCAGTTAGTTCCTTCCTTTACACGGTCAGTAGCGAAGTAAGTTCCTTCCTTTACCTGTCAGTAGCGAAGTTAGTTCCTTCCCTTATACGGTCAGTATGGCAGTTAGTTCCTTCCCTTACACGGTCAGTAGCGAAGTTAGTTCCTTCCCTTACACGGTCAGTAGCGAAGTTAGTTCCTTCCCTTACACGGTCAGTAGCGAAGTTAGTTCCTTCCCTTACACTGTCAGTATGGCAGTTAGTTCCTTCCCTTACACGGTCAGTAGCGAAGTTAGTTCCTTCCCTTACACGGTCAGTAGCGAAGTTAGTTCCTTCCCTTACACGGTCAGTAGCGAAGTTAGTTCCTTCACTTACACGGTCAGTAGCGAAGTTAGTTCCTTCCCTTACACGGTCAGTAGCGAAGTTAGTTCCTTCCCTTACACGGTCAGTAGCGAAGTTAGTTTCTTCCCTTACACTGTCACTAGCGAAGTTAGTTCTTTCCCTTACACGGTCGGTAGCGAAGTTAGTTCCTTCCCTTACATGATCAGTAGGGAAGTTAGTTCCTTCCCTTAAATGATCAGTAGCGAACTTAGTTCCTTCCCTTACAGTCAGTAGCGAAGTTAGTTCCTTCCCTTACACAGTCAGTAGCGAAGTTAGTTCCTTTCTTTACATGATCAGTAGCGAAGTTAGTTCCTTCCCTTACACGGTCAGTAGCGGAGTTAGTTCCTTCCCTTACACGGTCAGTAGCGAAGTTAGTTCCTTCCCTTACACAGTCAGTAGCGAAGTTAGTTCCTTCCCTTACACAGTCAGTAGCGAAGTTAGTTCCTTCCCTTACACGGTCAGTAGCGAAGTTAGTTCCTTCCCTTACACTGTCAGTAGCGAAGTTAGTTCCTTCCCTTACACGGTCAGTAGCGAAGTTAGTTCCTTCCCTTACACAGTCAGTAGCGAAGTTAGTTCCTTCCCTTACACTGTCAGTAGCGAAGTTAGTTCCTTCCCTTACACGGTCAGTAGCGAAGTTAGTTCCTTCCCTTACACGGTCAGTAGCGAAGTTAGTTCCTTCCCTTACACTGTCAGTAGCGAAGTTAGTTCCTTCCCTTACACGGTCAGTAGCGAAGTTAGTTCCTTCCCTTACATGTCAGTAACGAAGTTAGTTCCTTCCTTTATACGGTTAGTATGACAGTTAGTTCCTTCCCTTACACGGTCAGTAGCGAAGTTAGTTCCTTCCCTTACACGGTCAGTAGCGAAGTTAGTTCCTTCCCTTACACGGTCAGTAGCGAAGTTAGTTCCTTCCCTTACACGGTCAGTAGCGAAGTTAGTTCCTTCCCTTACACGGTCAGTAGCGAAGTTAGTAGCGAAGTTAGTTCCTTCCCTTACACGGTCAGTAGCGAAGTTAGTTCCTTCCCTTACATGATCAGTAGCGAAGTTAGTTCCTTCCCTTATACGGTCAGTATGGCAGTTAGTTCCTTCCCTTACACGGTCAGTAGCGAAGTTAGTTCCTTCCCTTACACTGTCAGTAGCGAAGTTAGTTCCTTCCCTTACACGGTCAGTAGCGAAGTTAGTTCCTTCCCTTACACTGTCAGTATGGCAGTTAGTTCCTTCCCTTACACGGTCCGTAACGAAGTTAGATCCTTCCCTTACACGGTCAGTAGCGAAGTTAGTTCCTTCCCTTACCTGTCAGTAGCGAAGTTAGTTCCTTCCCTTATACGGTCAGTAGCGAAGTTAGTTCCTTCCCTTACACGGTCAGTAGCGAAGTTAGTTCCTTCCCTTATACGGTCAGTAGCGCAGTTAGTTCCTTCCCTTACAGTCAGTAGCGAAGTTAGTTCCTTCCCTTACACGGTCAGTAGCGAAGTTAGTTCCTTCCCTTACACTGTCAGTATGGCAGTTAGTTCCTTCCCTTACACGGTCAATAGAGAAGTTAGTTCCTTCCCTTACACGGTCAATAGAGAAGTTAGTTCCTTCCCTTACACGGATAGTAGCGAAGTTAGTTCCTTCCCTTACACGGTCAGTAGCGAAGTTAGTTCCTTCCCTTACACGGTCACTAGCGAAGTTAGTTCCTTCCCTGACACGGTCAATAGAGAAGTTAGTTCCTTCCCTTACACGGTCAATAGAGAAGTTTGTTCCTTCCCTTACACGGTCAGTATGACAGTTAGTTCCTTCCCTTACATTTATCAATTATCCTCAGTCAAGGTTTAAAGTGAAACGTCTCACTTGACTACTTTTAGTCTAAAGCCTTCGTAGATATCTCATGAACCTCTAAGCAACAGATATACTTTGTATTTACGCAATATCTTCTTGTTCCACTGATTAGACTTTCGTGCTCACCATTCTAGTTGAAAGTTTAAAATAAAATAAATATATGTACAAAGTACATCATAATCTCAAATGGGACTTTTTCATATCTTCATCAGAGATTCATAATAATTATCTGAAACGTTTGGTGATTACCAAACGTCAACATAAAAGTTTAAAGGTCACTCCTTACCACTTCTGAAAACAAGATTTGTGTGGATGATGAATAGTTCTTCAGATCATAACCCTTCAGCAGACTGAGTTAACAATTCAGCTGATTAGGGCGCAAAGGAGACCATGCTGACTTTGTATTATTTTCCGCGGTATTTTTTTTATCGTTCCTTCCCTGAAAAGTATATCCTTGCTACTTTATTGTATTTTACAGCCGCGACAATTTGAACCATTGGATTGTAAACAACTTAATCATTGAGTTTACGTCTGCATGTTACTGTGATGTGTATTAACTGTGTATATACACACCTCTAGACTTTTGTATATATTTGATTTTGCCAGTATGTGACAAAGGTCGATTTGGCAACAACTGCACGTTTACTTGTGGAGCATGCAGAAACAATGGTGCGTGTGACCATGTGAGTGGCACATGTCCAAATGATTGTGCTGACGGATGGATCGCTCCTTTCTGCAATGAGAGTAAGTTCTTATACATTAAGAGGCATAAGAAGGATATTTGATAAGATATAAGGAAAGAAAGAAATACTATAGAAAATTTAAGGGTGCAGATCTAGTAACGACTGTTTATTATTTGCATAATTTTATTCAAAACACCGTAAACAACATTCATTCTGAGTCAGCTTTTGCATAGAATTTGTTGATGTTTAAATTTGGCAAACTGACAAATGTTTGCTTACAAAAGAAATCTATACAACGTATAAACGGACATTTTGCTAAATTGTTCTATTTCCGAAATAAAATTTGCATATAGAATCACTTTAAATTATAATCATTCTTCTACAAAACAGACGTATCATCAACTCATCCAGAAAGCGAATGTAGAATGTTAAAACTGTGTGTATTTAGATAGAGTTTGCAGTTTCCTCAGTCGGCTCTTAGGCTTCAAAATTTAAGCTGACGAGTTCTAGAAGGACGAAACAGCTGTATGATACATTTTACTTCATTTTAAGGCTCTACGGTAGCTAGCTTTAACGTGGTATCAAAATGTGGTATTAACTTGTGTATCTTTTGTACAATCTTTCTTAAGACTCGATTTGTAATCTAGAATAGATGAATTATAAATTACTAGAAAACGTTTTTGCAACAGGCATTTGTCATATATTACCTGGATGCAATTCATGTACTACAGAATGCCCAGCTGGGACATTTGGATTCAACTGCACGCGTAAATGTTTTTGCAAGATTGGAACATGTGATCCAGCAGATGGTTCATGTCCGAACAACGAATGCGCTAAAGGCTGGTACGGTCCTTCGTGTAGTTTACGTGAGTGAACTTTTCTTATTTTACGACAACCTATTCCAAATTTTTTAATTATTATTTTCCCCCTTTATATAACAAGACGTTTATGCCCATTATTTACATTATGCATCTACCAGAATTGCCAATCAAAGATTTGGCAGATTCTTCTCCATAAGTCACTTATACTGTACCTCAATCTCGACAGGGATAACTTTCCACTACGCTGCATGATGAACGTGATGATTGCGATTTCCCTATCATAATTTTCCATTTCTAGATGGTAATATTCCTGCGTTCTTAACTTATTTACATGTCCCAGTTGATTCAGCATTAATGGATTTGTTCCGAATATCATGACTTTTGTAAGAGATGTTGACAGCTGTCCTTGTGCGATGTAAAGTTTGATGTCTTCATGTGAGCTAGTTTGCCTGGTTCCTCCGCTGTTGTTCCCATTGTGTCTTATATCTAAACCAGTAAAAAGAATTAATCAATACATCGTAATTTTTTTAACGTTTATCTATCAACTTTAAGAAAACTTTCCAAAAACTTTTATTGTACAATTTGAAATGTACTTCGTTATTATATTAAAGTACTGAATTGGTGTTACACATTCATATTCCTATATTGTTTTACCAGAATGTGAGGCCGGATTCTTTGGTTATAACTGTGAGGAGAGTTGTCACTGCAAGACAGTACTTTGTAATAGGACTTCAGGTCTATGTCCGCCGGGTGGTTGTAAAGACGGATGGCAGACAGACAAATGTAACAGAAGTAAGTATTGTTTTCTTGCTTGTATATTTCAGTAACTCTATAATATCACCTGAAGAACTATTTTAAAAGTTTGACGGGAATTTCAAGTCAATGTATTTGTCTTTATATCTCGATTCCTTTCAGTTATCATTCTATTGATTTTTAGATAAAATTGTAGCTCAATCTTTCCGTTACTTTACCGTTACTGTATATACTATATTACGATATTAATCATATATCATTCGATGGAGTTCTGATGATGGGGGATACTAACATACTCTAAAGATGTGCTGGAAAGTGTAAAAAAAATTAAGTAAACATTGTTACAATATTTTCTTTTAATTATGAAATTAAACTTTTTAAGGTGGTCACAACCCACGTGACTATACGCTCTAGACGAGCTTTCCATTTCCCCTCATAAATAGGCCTGTTTTCTTAACCATACTGGGCAGTCGAGGGTCACTCTTGACCAGGAGAATATTTTCTTTAAAACAGCGGCGATATATATATATATCGAGAAACGAACCACATCAACAAAAGCCAGAGTGTGCCAATTGTATTATCAATTACTGTTATACTACTAGGTTATAGACAGTAAAAGTTACTCAATGCATTGTTTCGCTGTGTATCTATTTTGATCAGGAAGATCCATGTCGTTCTGCAATTACTAAGCATGATTGATGAAAAAGTCAGAATTAAATTTTGTTTCTTTTAATTGTTGTTCTCGGCGTTGAAAATGGTGCGAGAATCGAGAACAATTCGATGATGTACCGATCACAGTAATAATTGTTACCTTGTTGAAATGCGATAAATATCGGTTTTAGAATGTGACACAGGCTCCTACGGGACGAATTGTTCGGGAGTCTGTGGTAACTGTGGGAATAGTAGTACTTGTCATCACGTCAATGGTCATTGTACCCAGGGATGTAAGGCCGGCTTCCACGGAGAATTCTGCAATAAAGGTATGTTTATACTGACGTTAAGGCAAAGGTATGCGTGAAATACTGAGGTAGTGACAAAGGCAGGTGTCAAATACTGAGATAGTGACAAAGGCAGGTATCAAATACTGAGATAGTGACAAAGGCATGTATCAAATACTGAGATAGTGACAGAGGCAGGTATCAAATACTGAGATAGTGACAAATGCAGGTATCAAATACTGAGGTAGTGACAAAGGCAGGTATCAAATTCTGAGGTAATGACATGTAATACTGTAGTAATGACAAAGGTACCCTTGTTATAGTTAAGTTAAGTTAAGTTAAGTGAAGTTAATAATGGACGCAGGCAAAACAATGCCTCTATGTCCATATCTAAATTTGATTAACAATGGAATTGATATATCATACAATGTAGAAGGAAATGAATCGTTACATAGTGACTTAGCAATTTACGGTTTTGAGAGATCAAATTATTGTTCATCATGAAAGATTGAGATATAGGTCTATTTATATTTCAGTGCTTAAAATGGTATAACTTTCCTGGCTTAAATGTCTCGTTTTCCTGCTGATGCGAACAATTTTTCTGTTCCATGGTGGTCCGATCCTTTACCTCAGAGAATATTTCATCCGAACACTGAAGCGTTTCCATCTGTTTCACAACCTTTTCCATTTCCTTTTTCAATATGCATTCGACATCAGATGCTTCACATTTCCTCTTCATTGTCACTCTACACGGAGGACAAAACCACATACTATCTGATCGGCACAAAACTTTGTACGTACGTACATCTAATGCAAAAATATTTCCGGCATCTGTTGCATTTCAGCATTTTGGTTGTCTTCTCAACATATACCTTTGGACACAACTTACACTCAGATTGAGAGACGTTCAGGCCATCCATCCTGACTTCTGTAGACGAAGACACTGATTTGGCTCTGGTTACGGCTCCAGTTATACTGCAGTAATGACAAACGTACCCATGTAATACTGTAATACTGACAAAGGTACCCATGTAATACTGTAGTACTGACAGAGGTACCCATGTAATAATGTAGTACTGACAAAGGTACCCATGTAATACTGTAGTACTGACAGAGGTACCCATGTAATAATGTAGTACTGACAAAGGTACCCATGTAATACTGTAGTACTGACAGATGTACCCATGTTATACTGTAGTACTGACAAAGGTACCCATGCAATAATGTAGTAGTGACAGAGGTACCCATGTAATACTATAGTATTGATAGAGATACATATGTAATACTGTAGTACTGACAGATGTACCCATGTTATACTGTAGTACTGACAAAGGTTCCAATGTAATAATGTAGTACTGACAGAGGTACCCATGTAATAATGTAGTAATGACAGAGGTACCCATGTAATACTGTAGTACTGACAAAGGTACCCATGTAATACTGTAGTACTGACAAAGGTACCCATGTAATACTGTAGTACTGACACAGGTACCCATGTAATACTGTAGTACTAACAGAGGTACCCATGTAATACTGTAGTACTGACAAAGTTACCCATGTTATACTGTAGCACTGACAAAGGTACCGATGTTATACTGTAGTATTGACAAAGGTACCAATGTAATACTGTAGTAATGACAAAGGTACCCATGTTATACTGTAGTACTGACAAAGGTACCCATGTAATACTGTAGTACTGACAGAGGTACCCATGTAATACTGTAGTACTGACAGAGGTACCCATGTAATAATGTAGTACTGACAAAGGTTCCAATGTAATACTGTAGTAATGACAAAGGTACCCATGTAATACTGTAGTACTGACAGAGGTACCCATGTAATAATGTAGTAATGACAAAGGTACCAATGCAATACTGTAGTACTGACAAAAGGACCCATGTAATACTGTAGCTCTGACAGAGGTACCCATGTAATACTGTAGTACTGGCAAAGGTACCCATGTAATACTGTAGTACTGACAGAGGTACCCATGTAATAATGTAGTACTGACAAAGGTTCCAATGTAATACTGTAGTACTGACAGAGGTACCCATGTTATACTGTAGTACTGACATAGGTACCCACGTAATACTGTACTAATGATAAAGGTACCCATGTAATAATGTAGTAATGACAAAGGTACCAATGCAATACTGTAGTACTGACAAAAGGACCCATGTAATACTGTAGTACAGACAGAGGTACCCATGTAATAATGTAGTACTGACAGAGGTACCCATGTAATAATGCAGTACTGACAGAGGTACCCATGTAATACTGTAGTAATGACAAAGTTACCCATGTAATACTGTAGTACACAAAAAAAACCCCACAAAAGCCCATAATATTACGGTAGAATTCAATATGTTGAGTCATATCTTACTTTCAGTTTAACATCAGAAGATTACTTCCTTAATGGAACTGGTCGTCACGATTTTTGCTTTATCGTCACTCGTTACTTCCTGTTCGAAAGCTACACAATATGTTACTGAAGGATCGCCATTTGATTAAGATATCATCTGATCATGTACTCTTGTCCTACTTAGGAAACTTCCTTTAGCAGTGCTTGTGTATACATAATACCGTAATAATCTCAATATGTCATTATGGATGTAATTTCCTGATAAGCCTGCCTCATGTTTCATATCATATTCACTTCATATTAAGTATTTGTCTGTGAATCAAAGTGTTTTCCCTTAAAAGCTGATCGGTTGCATTATGTGTTGAATTTACACAACAATCTGCCCGCAATGCATTTGTTCCAATCTACTAATTTCCACGGTCACATGGTGGCATGTATTCATGTGGTTGACAATTTTCAACTACTGCTATGATAAATCTCAATAGATAAATAAATACAATGTGTAGTCAGCACTACTATTTATAGAAAGCTATAAACCATTTCAGTCACTAAAAGTTTCTAACCGAGACTATTGTGCGCAAGAGGGAGTGTAATCTTGGATTAAAAGGTTAGGAATACAAAGCAAACTATTTTATTGACTATATCATATCAGCTTTGACGGAAAACATAAAGCTCGTGATTCCTTGTTATTTATAGCCTTTAATGTTTTATGCTCATGTTTAGAATACGAAACATTAAAATTAAACACTTTTTGTTGTGGACTAACAGATATCGCATGAATTTGTATGTTCAGAATGTGAAGATTATTCCTATGGAATCAACTGTCAATATAATTGCCAAGGCTGCAACCTAGGAAAATGTCAACGAGTCCATGGAGCCTGCCTCAGAGGATGTGTATCCGGTATGAGTGGCGAGCTCTGTAACATTAAGCTTAGTAAGTGAAATGACTAAGATATCTTCACCGTATGTGTACTCATCATTAAGTTCTGAATAGAATGTCTAAACACGATAAGAGTATAGTCTTTGTATTTTATTCCCTTGAAAAACACCAACATTATCATAGAGAAATTTGCCTGTTGCTACCCTTGTGGTATACCTTGTTCTCATTTGATAATGTGACCGTAGATTGACCATTTTTTACATGGTCGGTGTCGTCGACGCTTACTCGTCTGAAAAACCTGGTCTTATTCTCTTTGTGCTTTTTAAGAGTCTCCGTGTAAATCATTTTTGTTTATATTTTGCTCTTGTTTTACGGAATTTGAGTTTGGATTATAAGTATGTTGGCAAGTTGGTATTTTCCTGATGTATTTCATATAATGTGTTTATTGGTTCCAGTGACAATAACATCATTGATGCTGAAAATAGATTATCAATATATTGAAGACCATGTAATTTAAAATCCTTGTAACATGCCGTGTTAACATGTATAGTATACATCATAAAAAAACATATGTTATACAACTGTTTATATTTCTCCTACAAAACTGCAATGTCTGTTTATCCCAAATGTAACTGATATATTTTTGTTAAGAAATGCGATTCTTTGGTGCATGTTTTATCAAGACTTGTGCTGGTTATTCACAGCGGAAGAGGACAAGAGCGTGGACATTATTGGGGCTGTAGTGGGTGTTGTCATCTTACTGGCTGTAATAGGATTAATTTTAATACTTCTGATACACCGAAGGTGAGACCATAAAATCAAACATTTGAGGATGTTTTTTTTAATATTTGACTTAAAGGAAAGATATATTGAGATAAGCTGATGTACGTTCAAGCAATGAAAGTTTAAAGTTGTTTAAAAGCTGGAAAGTAAGATCGTTATGCAGACATTCAGTGATACACACCTCTTTTTATTCTATTTTCGTTGGGGTTTTTTTGGGGGGGGGGGAGGGTGGGGGGGTTTCGGGGGAGGGTATTTGATACTGACTCCCAATATGAAACCCATAGAAAATTTGATATCTTAATTAGAATGCAGCATGTATATATGCAGTTGATATTGAAATATCTAAATATTCTTGCATATGATATGGTTTACACTGAATGGATGTAGGATGGCCAAAATTATCACCAGTCCTTTAAAACCTTGAACTTGACACCACATTTTTGCCTCAATGGCAGTCAAATATAAATTGAAAAACAAAGAATTAAAGAATGAAAAAAATCTAGTGTGGCTATGATTTCTTGTCGGCGACATAGAGCACGAGGACGCTTTTCGATGGATGATTAAAGTAATCTGTAACATCACAAACATTGTGAAAGGTAGACGCCATATACACTGCGAGATGCATAACATATACTACATATACTGACCTTAGTGTACAACTCCATCTTAATTTTGACATCTATTTCGATCACTTTCGATTTAGGCTCTTAGCATCACTGTCGAAACCTAGGACGAAACAGCAACATCTTGTATTTTAATTATTTGGCCTCAAGTGTTAACCACTCTGTGTCTTTTGTACAATCTTTGATGTGATAGATAGTCGTAACAATACTATTTTCTCTATGCAGGAAAAAGAAGCTTTTAGCTAAAGAATCTAAAAAACTACCTGAAGACGGTAAGTTACCTATAACATGTTGTTTTTGCAGGTCATAAAATTCAGAGAATTGAAATTAATCGAATTCGATTTCGTTAAGAACAGATACTAAAGATTAAAAAAAAACAGTGACTAAGTTATGAGATTATTTTTGCTTTCTTCTTTATTTAAACAATTCTAAGTTGTTTTCACTTTTGAGACGTCATTTTCTTTACCGTTAATGATATTGATAGCATATACAAATGGTCTACTTGTAATGGATGCAAACCTTATAGAAGATGCATTCACTTCCAAAAAGATACATCATAAAGTAAATTATGAAAATATTAGTTATTCTCTTTTCGTAGAAATCGTAGCCTACTACAGCAACGTGTCAGAGAACGAACAAAACTTGACAGAGGACAAGAGATTGAAGTTTATACATGGTAATATCAACACAAAAAATGAAAAAGCAGAATACGCAGTTGTATATGGTGATGAACTGGATGAGGAAAACATCTACAAAACCATCGACGACAACATCTCCTCCAGAAGTATAGCTTCACATCTCAGCCAATACCTGGACGATGACGATATATCAGAAGATATAGACTTGACAGAGAATATTTACACCAACTACATGGCGTCTATCGAATCTAAAATCGCTGTTTCAGGATTATCAGAAACTATAGCTTTTAAGAAGGAGTCGAATCTTTTCAATGACGAGTACACAGTAAGCATTACTCTAATTACATTGTAGAAACTTAATATTTGTCAGGTCGAATGTATCGAACGGACAGGTCGCCAATACCTATGCCAATTCTGTACCAGATTCTAGGTTCAGTTTGAAACGATTCAAAATATCTTTTACTGTAAATGAATCTAGAATGTTACTCTAATGTCATAGAGACGATTATACTTATTCTTTGACTTTTAAGTATGATTTTTAAAAATATTGAGTTTGAGTTGCGTTTGTATTTGTGCATAGTGTTAAAATACATTATTACATCTTACAAAAACAAAATGAATGTTTATAGTAATAACAGAAAGGGATTAGTATTCACTTTGTTAGACCGTCTGAACATGCCTAGTTCTATTGTTAAAAACATGCAAATAAGCATATTTTGATATGATGTTTATGTTCCATATCAGAGTTTAATTTGGTGTTGAAAGGCTGCACCGTCCTGATAAGAGATTAAGGTCGTTTAACTTTTTGTTTTCCTTTTTGTAATATTAGAAACTTCCGAGAGGACTGCAGCACCCACATGAGTGCGGAAAGAAGCCTGAATTAAAAGACAAGAATCGGTTCAAAGACATGTTTCCCTGTGAGTATTGGAAATAAGTAGGACTCGACTCTTACGTTTTGTCCATATTTTGATGCAGTATTGTTCGTAATTTTCTCTTACATAAGATTATTATCAGTACCGGGTATTTCATAATATATAATATATAACATTTCAAGAAAACGTGGTGTCGTTAATGCATTTGTACTATTGTCCATGTTAAAGATGACTACAAGACTTTTAAAAATTCTCATTGCCGTTTGTTTAGAATGGAAATGTATTCCGCCAGTTACACAATGCTAATGGAAAAGACACTGTATTTCGCTTGTTTTATTGATATATTAATAGGGAGAATAATACATTACGATGGGTACCGAATCTATCTTTGCAATGTACTGTCTTCATAGTAACACAGTGATATAAGAAACTCGATCAATTGGGATTGAAACTTATAGTCACAGAGAGGAGGAGGGGGAGGGTGCAAATCCGATTTTTCAAATTCATTATTTTGTATGGACACATTTAACATTGATGTATAAAACTGATAAAATTACGCAGAAATGTTTGGAAACTTTGCGACGTAATGCGTCCTGCCGCTCCATTTTATCCAAATCATGCTCGAGACTTCAGACCTGTCACTATTGGTGAATTCTAGATGTCACCATCCTTAGCGTATAACTCTGTAACGTTGGAGCAAAACTTGATGAACAGCGGGGCGTCGCGAGTGGATGTTGACCTAGCCCACTTTGTTTCGTATGGTTCTGGAAGCGGCCAAGGAAAGATACCCGAACTGATAATACACATGCAAAGTCCGTATATTCGTATCTTGACGATCTAATGCTGTGCTCGGACTGCGTTGGCAGTCCCGCATTAGTGTGCACCCAAAATTATTTTTCGCGTTACTCTAGAGTCTTCAATCTTTTGAAAATCCTAAACAATCAAGCGCGCATCCTTATAGCGTATTGAAAGCACAATTTTCTTTTTTTTTTTTTTTAACCAATCGAACCAGCTTTGAATACTTCAAAATATTATTTTTGGTGATATCGTAGAGAAAAAAATCTTATCTTTACACAATTTTACTTTTTTGTTTGTATATATGGAAAAACTTTGACAGCACAATGTAAACGTTTTGTAACTCGGATGAATCACGAGAGCTGGATATTCAAATGAATGTCTTTGCCCAAACAATTTCAAACTTAACCGCTATATTTGATATTAATATTTGCAGATGACCACTCACGTGTAGTGCTGAATACTTTGCCTGATGTAAATAATTCGGATTACATCAATGGAAACTATATAGATGTAAGTAAATGTGATCTTCGGGTATAGATATTGAATTATTGATGTACATCAATTAACATTACAAAAATAAATATGGTTCTAATCAAGTTTATGTTGACATGATCATGAATATATTTTTAAAGTTACAAGTACACATAAGCAAAACAATCTTGTAAATGAGAACAATACATTGAAATATTGAAAGGAAAACTAAAAGGGCAAATGCGTTTTATTGAATAGGATATGATGCATACTTTGGACAATTTCTTGATACACATCCTGTATACTAATGATTCCTTTTGTATCACTTTATATCACATTAATCGTCACCTTTCCTTTAGTCCGTTAGTCTGGAGAGGCAGTACATAGCAACACAAGGTTAGTTTGTATTCATCAATTTTGTCTCCAAAGCACCAAGAAAATTTCACGACGGAGTTTGACAATGTGCATACTTCGCTTATCGTTGTTGGCCTACTCTTCATCCTATCCATTTCATCTCGTTCCTATTATCTACCATTTTGCTTTTGCACCAAGCACGTCCTAAAAGCGCTTTTTACTTTCAATCATATCAAATTCGTGGTTACCTTCGAGCCAACAAGAGTGTTTAATATAAGCCGAAATAACTATTTTCGCAATTATTTTCAACAAATTAAAATTGAATGGGTATACTATACCGATTAATCTACAGAAATTTTGATATGTAAGTGATATTTTTTCTTGTGAAAAATTGACTTGCTTAATCTCTGCAATGTTGCTTTTATTGCGCTCCTAATTCATTTTATATTCACAGTTTGTGAAACCATGTAATTTACTCGAAATATGATCACCAATAAGTACAAATTGATTCCGTGCTTTTAAGATATCTAACCTGTTTGAAATTGTAATAGAATAACCGTTGTGAAATCATCATGACAATAATGTTACATTTAACATGCGTAATCTACCTTACAGGTCCAAAGCAAGGGACCGTCTGGGATTTTTGGAGAATGATTTGGGAACAAAACACGGGGAAAATTATAATGGTCACTAATATCAAGGAAGGAAAAAAGGTAACATTTCGGTTACAGCAAAACCGAAGACACAATATTCAGGAATTTTAAGAAAACGGAGAAATAACTACACTTATAAATCATGTCACTTGCACTAAATCTCAAACAAATCAAAATTATCAATTAAAAATGAGATAATGTAAGTACATCACTACTAAAAAGTCAAGTTCTGTAAATTCTATATTTATATTTATTGTACATAAATGTTAAGTCATCCAAAATTGTAGTTATTAATGACAAAGGATGTAAATGATTTCAAGGGACAAAATCTTACGATATTCGTGAACTAATTCATATTGGATTGAAAAGGCGGAGATATTTACAAAGCAACAGTTTTTTCATGTGAATCTTTTAAAACTAGTCTGAGAGGTTGTTGTTTCGGGTTTTATAAATATGAAAACTAATTTGAGATTTGATAACGTAAAGGTTTAAAAGTAAAAACGGATGACAAAATCAAAGGGATGTAGCTCTCTTTATCAATTAAAGAGATAACACGATTGTCCATATAATGACAGCACAATCGATCTTCACCGACACAGTCCATGAAAAGCGTCCAAAAGTATATTACACTCATAACATATGCAAAATATGACATATGCGAATTAATTGGATAAAAATCATGTGATAAAATACAAAACTAACATTCAGATAAAAACTTTTGAACTTTTAGATGAAGTGTCATCCCTACTGGCCAGCTCTTGGAAGAACAATCACTAACGGAGATTTTTCAGTAACACTAACTGATGAAAAACGATGTTTAGCCTTCATATCACGGACACTGACTTTACTAAATCAAAAGGTTTTTGTATTTTTTAAATTCACAATTATTTCAAAATACAATTAAATATCTTACATGATCACTAGGATCTCGTTTCAATTGTAATTTGTAATGTCCAGTGGACTGATCCTTGACTGAATTATGTTTGTTGATAAAGTTATTCTATGTGAACTATTCCAATTATTACATTTTGAACAGCTTGTGTTGAAGGAGAAGTGTTTGAATAATATGTTTTTAAACATACTTTCCTTGTTTTTTTTCGAAGAAAAGTCTATTTGTTATGATGTATCTTTATCATGTCAGACCAAGGAAAAGCACGAAGTATTCCAGTTCCATTTCACCACTTGGCCAGATCACGGCATTCCTAATCCATTCCAGTTAGTGCAGTTTCAACGATTAGTAATTAAACAAGAGACAAGTTTGCCGGGGCCACAAGTTGTACATTGCAGGTACATTTACCTTTGACAGTTCAAGTCAAATGAAGTGGTGTTATATAGAGTGATACGAATCGTCTTAGCATTATACCAGCTGTAAAATTTCTCGAACTACATTGAGTTTCTCATTTTCTGCATTTCTTTCTACAATTTTGACCATAAGTTTGCTTCTATTAACAATCAATAGCATGCTGATAGATATATGTACCATGTTTTTTATGAAGCGCTGGGATCGGGAGAACTGGCACGTACATTGCTCTTGATGCTCTACTGAAACATGCGCAGATTTCACCAACGATCGATGTTTACCAGTATACAATGAAAATGCGCAAAGATAGACTGAATATGATTCAAACAGTGGTAAGTTGTCTTCATCTTTTAATCTTTCTTTATTTGTTTTTATTTTTTTAATATGTCTATTTTATATTATTTTATATGTACATTTCTTTCATCAAAATACTGATATATCTATATTACAATTTGTAAATAAAAAAGGATCAATTATCACCGTATATGTTTGAAAACCCTAGGGAAATTTCATACTGATAGCACTATGATTCTTATGATGAAGTATGTGTTGATTCGTTAAGTCCAACAAAAGCAGATCAAAGAACCAGGAAGAGATGGTTAGGGGTGCGACGTCTTTGTTTCCTAGCATTTATTTCCTAAATTTGTTACTATCCTTGCCTTAACTACTCTGAATTCTTGGATGTATCGCAGGAGCAGTACATAGTCCTACACGAAGCTTTAGATGTCAGTTTGACATTCCCGGATGCATCTATTAATAGATGTCAGTTTCAAGAAAAGAAAGACCTCCGTCAACAACGTATACAAGAAAATTTTAAAGTAAATAATGTGAAGAAAACAGTATGAATTTCTAGTATATTAAGTAATTAACATTGTCTTCATCTAATTAATATTTTGTGTTTTGATAAATGAGTTTATGTTTCTTTTTCAAATCCCTAAAATTGATATTGATGCAAACGTTATGTAGTTTAATTTTTCAATGACACGCAATACTGTACGAAGAATAACATTTGTAAAAAAAATTACATTATTTCTTTAAGTACTGCCTCATTAACACGCTATTTGTGTACGTTTTATTGTCAGGTTCTCAGCAAAATCAAACCCACCTTTGACCAAAAGGATTATTCGTCAGCGCTTTCAAATGCAAACGTATCGAAAAACAGATCAAAAGAATGTATACCGGGTATGTTTTCATATTGCAAATGTGAATTAAATTCTAAAATAAAGTTTCCTCTTTTCTTAAGAATAGTTTCTGTATGGGTGCTTTGACGTTCATGTTTAACATCTTAATTTACTTGTTTCCATTGAAATATTACGTAATATTAAAGATTACGGAACCTTTCACTTAGAAGGAGTTATTAAATATTTTTATATTCATATTACAAGGTCTTAGGCAATATCAAAATACTCACCAGAAAACACACTGTCAGATGGACGTTGTCCATTACATTCAACTCTTTTTTGTATTTCAGTAAATCGCTTTCGAGTAAGATTGAAATCGCCACTAGAGGGAAGAGGAGACTATATAAACGCTGTAGTCCTACCTGTGAGTAGAGGAAACCGTCTGTAGGACAATCCTATCAAACAATTAAAATCGCTTTAATCTGTATTATGTCCTGTGTGCATTACCTATTTAAAGCCCCAATATACGTAAAAACCACTATAAAAAACAAACTTTATCTTATTTTCCCCGTAATATATGTAACAAAACAAAAAAATTCTTTAATTAAAGAAAATAAAACTGACTGTTTTCTATTGAAATAAAAATTGAAAAAAATCGGAAAATAAACAATGTGGGACCCACAATAATTCATACATTACCGCTCGTAGCGATGACATTGCGCATGTGCATATTCCGCGTGTGTAAACATGGCAGACACAGTACAGACGTTCACCAGTCGCTTCCTTTTTTTCCAATCATACATCAAGCCAGTTCTGAATTCTTACGTTATAATTGTGCGTCGTATCGTTTCTAAACTAATTATTCCTTCTAATAATTTCCCAAAACTGAATGTTTATCACCTCAAGTCTACGACAAGACTTCGCAAACAATGTTTGTAAACAAAAACTTACCGTAAACATATCTGCATGTGCTTCCTCTATAAGTAAAAACCTCAACTCTCGCGAGATCAGGTCATGAACTTTCCGACGTGGTTCGGCAATAATCGTAATTTCGATGGCGGCGTGATTAAAATGGAGGTGTGCTTACAAATAGCGAGTTTCAACTGCTCATATATAAATACTTTATGCACAAAGTCATGGTAACTATTGTTTGAATAACTTAATTTTAACTACATCTTAGAGAATATCTCAATAATTATGTGTGATTCTACACTAAATTTTTGGTGAATGTTACGTATATTGGGGCTTTAACTAAACTTTGTTTATTTAACAATAATTGCGAAACAAGTTTTTTCAACATATATAAATTACACTTGTTGGCCCGGATGGAAGCGCACGAGGGGTTTTACTGTGAGAGGAAACCGGGCTACCCGGGGAAACCCATGTTGTCGGTCAGGTGACCCAATACCTTTTCACATAAATCCGGGAACCGAACCCCGGGCGGCTTAGTTAAAGGTATTGTCACTGCGACACCCAACCACCCCTATAGAAATTTGTTATTGACACTTCTGTTAACACTTGCGGAAAAACATTTCGTTCGTTATAATTTTTGCATGATGTGAAATTATTTTGAATATACTCAAAGCATTGTGTGAACTAAAGTGTTAATATTAGAATATCTCAGATAAATATCATAAAAAAGTTTTTATGAAACTGTTCACTTACTGAAGTCCACAAACTTCCCAACAAAATTGAAATTAGCTATATTCTATGAGTCAATGGACTGTTCCATCCAATGTATATCGATTTTCAAGAAAGCATAAGAAAACTACCAAAACTTAAATATCTGATATACCCCACAAAAGACATTTTATTTCTCGTAAATAATCTCCATCTCGGATGTTAACCCCATTTTTTTTACAGTAATAAGAATCGGTTTATTTGTTTACAGTTACATTAGTACCAGGAATATATCGAGGGTACTGTATTTTGTTTTAGACGTAGCTTACTGATTGATTTAAAATAACCGATAAATTGTCACCTATGTGACGTGACACATTTGTTCAATACCTTTCAGGGCAAATGGATATTGGTTGAAATATTTCTAATACCACACAGGTATGAATAATCTGCCACGTCTATTCATTTTATCATTTATGTTTAAATCACACTGCATTCAATAAGCAATTGTTATCTGGCTGCTCTAGGAAATATTTAAAATACGTTTATATTGATTACATAATGCTAAGGTATTTATTATCTTAATCTCTATTTCTCGACATGTATATTGTTGCACGTTTGTTGTTGCAGTCCTGTTCCAATTCATTTGGTTTCTTGGCAACACAACTTCCGCTAACAGATACACTGCCGGATTTCTGGACTATGGTCTATGACTACAACTCTCGCATTGTAGTTTTACTCGACCGACTAGACAGTGTGAGTAAACAAGCATTCCAATATCAATGATTGAAATGGATTATTTAATTTATCGTGGGGGACGTACATTAAATTATTTCAGTTAAAGTTTAGCCTATATCAACCAATCGATGAAGAAAGCATTATGTCTTTGCTACTTTCCGTTATTGACAGTAAAAGAATTACAGTTTTTGTATAAGTTTTGGGGCCATTAAACAATATGATTAAGCCCTCATTAAAAAAAACCTCTGTTCACTCTTTTAGGATGTACAGTTACTTCCTGAAGAAAATCATGACGATTATAACATTGACGGATTCAAACTCAGCACATCTGGCGTTAAGCAGTCTATGATTGAAGCTGAAGCACTGGACATTATCTTACAGAAACAGGTCCGTGAAAACATTATGGATAAAAAGGTTTGATAGCGCATAGATAATCTAAATTGAATTTGCATTAGTTTCACATTGAACACCATAATGCCCACGCGTGCTGTCCATAAAAGTGCGCTGCTTATCAAAGATATTGCAGTCATCTTCAAACAATATCTTTAGAAATTCCCCTCTCCGAACCACTGGTAGTATCACTAATTAAGCAATAGGCCTTTTCCGAAATGATTTACTACATTCTAAAATATCAATACCATCAACCATTTGATATGAAAAATGATATCATAATCATTTACACAAAAATAAACATTGAGCTCGTCATTGAAGTAAGAAATATAATTTGTGGAAATATCTTAACTACCAGCACCAATGATAAACATTTATGGATGTGATGAAATAAGTCTGAATTGATGTGAGCACTAAATTACCATTTTAACTATTCTCATACACGTAAATTAGTAACAGAACGATATTAGAATAATTTTGTTTCTACATATAGGATCAAGAGAAAAGACATGTGAAAATTTTGATAAATCCGGTTGGAACAGATCAAACTGGTCACGTGTCCACACATGGATTGGTTAATGCTGTCACGTCAACCAATCGCTTGGAAACGTCACAAAAGGGTACTGCCATAACAGTTGTTTGCAGGTAATACGCGATTTCAGCAGGTAGTATATTTGATTTATTGTATCGTTAACGAGCAATGGCAACGTTCTAACGTAGAGTTTGAGTGCGCTTCAATAGAATTGTTGATTGTGCCACTCTAACAATTCATTAATTGAACCACTGTTGGATGTCTATTTAACTGGTTTATAGTTTGATGTATAGACGTGTATGAAAAGTTTTTCTTTCACGTAGTATAGCTGTGATATTTTCCTGCAACAATTGCTAGTTTTAGAACCTATGTATCATATAAGAGCACGATTAGACATGGGAACATAACAAAAGTATATCTTTTTTAGATTAGATTAGTGCTGTAAATCGTGATAACAAAATTTTAAAGCGAATATCCAAGATGGCCGCCAGATTAATTTCAAAATCAAACGGGCACTACCAGGGACTAAGGGAAACCTGCATAAGGAATTTATGAGAGATTCATCCAGATATAGCGACACCAAAAATTGTTTACGGACGGACAGACAATTTGACTAGCTAAAAACTTGTATTGATGTATACCATACTAGTGTTATCTATAGAATGTATCAGTAAAATAAATAAGTTTGTATTATGAATAGGCAGTCCTGTCTTGAGTGCAAATTTAAACGAACTAATCAGAATTTACGTTCAAACGATATTGTTTACCTATTTGCAGAGACGGAAAAACAAATTGCGTCCCATTTTGTTTGCTGAAAGCAGTCATTGAAAGGATGGATCTTGATGGTTGTATAGATATTTTCAATGCTGCCAGAGAAATTCAGTATCGACGACCTGACGCCTTCAAGACTCTGGTTCGTGATCTATATCTCATAGTACTTAATATCTAAACCTGTGTATCAGGTATATCGATCATTTATAAATCGCAGCGTTTAATCGAAACTTTAGCAGATAAGTGTAAGTTCACTTTTTTCTGCATAGGTCACTTACATCTAAATCTAACTCATATTTCAATATATGATTTTAAAAGTATCTTTACGACTTACATTTGCAAAATTTCGTTTCGTGTATTACGCCATGAACATTAAAATAATGAAGAAGAACACTAGTAGTTTGCAACCAACAAAAGACGTCTATATGCAGTTTTTTTTATTTATATATATTTTCTGTATTGTTTAATCTTGGTAAAATCATAAAGTGTAAGATATTAGTCAGTTTGTGGATTTAAATTTCAATGGTCTGTGATTTATTTTCATGCAATGGAAATGCCAGGATGTCTTAATTATCTACAATTTTAATATATTTTATAATTTTAATTGAAAAAGCGATATTAACTAAAAACTGAAATAATAAAACTCAAATGTTATTTTTTATACCAGGTGTTCTTTATACATGTGTTTTTTTCAGTTGATGAGCTTAATTTTGTTTTACTTTCAGGGAGATATCCGATTGATATACCAAGCATTAGAGGATTATATACATTCGACGTCAATCTATTCGAATGAATAAATGGATAAGTTAAAGTGCGTAAAACAATAATGATGAAAAACTTCCAAAATAGAAATGATTGATGGGTGGTATTTATTGTGACGTCCGTAGCCCAATACAACATCCAATAGTGCTCATTGTCAAAACTCGTAATCGCTTTGTAGCACAGCGAGAATAGTCCTCACGAAGGCCACAATGAGATTTTCAATATACAGGCAACAGCGGGCTCTAGGCTCAAAGTGATCTTTCATGAGGCGACCACTGCTCCAGACTTGTTCCATACTGCCCGCGTTCCACATCATTTTGCATCCACAATGTTCTTAACATGTCAATATCTACGTATTCATTCTAACGGAGAACTATGGTCATTCTAACTCATATTTCCATTCTGGTCCAGATGAAGGCTTTGCAAACCTACGGTTGGATTACTAGTATTAACAAGGCTACGGTAATATACTAGTATCAAAAAACCTACAGAAGAATATTAGTCCTAACATTGATAATATGTTTTGAATCAGTCAGTGTCCTCTAATAATGAAATTGCACATGAAAGCAATTGTTGTGATTAACATTATTTATGCTTTTGTTTTTAATAACTTGATATTAGTAAACTTTTATTTTACTTTTTTAATTAGATAATTTTATGATGTTTTTATCGCTGTTTCAATATTATATATTGCTTAATTGTCATTTTATTGCTTGATTACATAAAATGTTTTACTTTTTTTGCAATGTTCCTGAATCAGTTTTAATTGCTATTATACATAAATAAATTTAACTTAACCACCTCCAACATTCAAAATACGTGATGCTATTACAATATTTACATTTCGTCATTAATATTCTCGTCATTCGATTTTTATTGGAAATTGTGCAAGTCATAAAAACATATATCATGATACAACAGACAAAAGAAAAAAAAAAACCCAAAGAAAACAAAAAATTCTAAGAAATTGTCTGCACCTCTCCATGTGAATTTTTTCTAGGAGGAATTCAGCATCTGGAACCATTGATTTGCTACATTAATAATGATATAAGATCAAAATATATTTGTTCGTTAGTTTACAAGACTGATTAATAGGACATAGGACCAAAGAGAAACTATCAGTATTATTTTCTTGTTTATGAAATATTTAAATACCTACCTGATATTACATAACCTTCAAATCTAGTCTTACTCAGAGACGTTGATATCAATATATGAATTATAATGCATCTAACTGATGAAGGTGTGTGTGTTGGAAAATAGGTGTATATATGTATGTTAATACGTGGAATGTGTTCATGAACTATTATATTTCCCATGAAGTATTTCAAAAACCGTCAAAATTAGTTAATCTAATGTCGTACTTGTAAATATTAGTTTTAAACTGGTGTGTGTGGGTCTAGGTGATGGTATTAGTGTGTAGGTGTGTGGGTATGTGTGTTGGAGAAGGAATGCGTATATCTGTTACGTTGATACGTATTTGTGTTCATTGTACAAGTGTGCTCGTGTTCGGTGTGCGGAAAACGTGACCTTTTGCATGTGTCTACGATATTCACATATGCGGATATGATGGTGTGTGTGAGTTGGAAAGGGAGTTTGAGTGCTTTGAGTGTTTAATACTCGAGTGGATGCCCGTAAAGGTACATGTTGGTGTTTGTTCAACATGGGGTAGTAGTGTATGTGTTTAAGTTAAATTGTGGTGTACATAGATTTATTTGCGGGTATATTCATATGACTGTATTTGGATTGAATTGCAGATAAAAAACTAAATCATCATTTTTCATGGAACACCACACAGGTGACAAATGGAAGTTAATCCTTGTCTTACAATCGATATGATTTGTAGATATATTTCATTCAACTTGGTCATGCGCCTACTCATTTAACAGATCATTCATCCTCTTTTGTAAATATATTTATGACCAAAGATTAAAAAAATATTCAGATAGTTGTCGGTAAATCTTTCATACCTCCTGATGCTAAATATCATGGTCCTGTTTACACTTTTTTAGAAATTTGTCGTAACATATTGAAGTTTCAAAAAATGTATTGATATTAACACCGTATTTATAAGACATAAGAATCACTATGGGTGCAAATGAAGTTCCAAAATTAATCAGGGTTCGGAAAAGATAACATCGAAAAGAAATTCGATGAACGGTGAATTGTGGTGATATTGTAGGGTATGAAGGATATCATGATTGATGTAAAATACTTTTTTTATCTTTAAAGTAACCATTGTGAGAATAGACAATCGCTTTATCAAATAATTTTGTTGTAGGTCCTAAACATTATCCGCCATCTAACTAGAAACAGTTCCATTGTCAAGTCCAAAATATTGATTAACAGAGCACTCGCATAAAATATATTGTATATCATGACAATATCGAAATAAAATCTACTGTCATCAATATATTTATATGGTAAATATTGTAAACAGAATGATTGAATGCGAAAAGTTTATAAGTGATATAAATCGTATCCACTGAAGCATTTTTACTGATGAGCTTGTTGTCCGGTATGTTTTCCTGTCGATTCCGTTTTACTAGATATACAGTATTAATCCTAGACGTTAAAATTACAGAAAGTATCTCATCTTTTGCTAGATCAATTCCTGAAAGACTGATTAATTCAGCATATAAAGGTATTTATTATACAAGCAGAAATCACTACAAAAAGCCATATTCTGAACCGCTTAAAAGTTCCAAAAATTAATTCTAAAAAAAATTATAAATATTGCTACAAAATAAGACAGTTCATACTCCCTAAAATACTGCTCATAAAATCTTTCGAAAACACGTCAAAATTACTATTCCAAAATAATTATAAACCATAAGGTCAAAATTCCGCAAGTCCAATAGCAAAAAATATTATAGATCAAAACAGTCAAAGTCCCATTTCAACACGTTATCAGTAAAGACAACAGGCAATTTGAGTAACAACAAATTATTATAGATCACAACAGGTCGAAATTTCAAGTAAACACAACACATTATTTACAACAGATCATAATTATCATAAACCTCAATAGGTCAAAACCTGCACATAAACAGTGCAGGTTAAATTCACTAACAACATGTTGAAATTATAAAAATGCAGAATACGTCAAAAAGTCAAGAAAACAAAACAGATCAAATAAATACAAAATGAGTATTGGTCGTACAGTCATGTACATCATATTGCATTGGAAACGTTGACATCTTCTTTTGTTTATATCTGACTGTTATGTATTCATTTTAGAATTGAAAACAAATAATTTCAAAGTAATTTAAAATAAAATATGGATTGTCATTCATTATGATTGATTAATATACATATAATGAAATGTTGACTGAAAACTTTACAAATATGTACTTTTAAACAATATCTGCTGTTTAGCTAAAATTACACCACATGCAGTAAGGGTTTTGATCAACCTGAAACTAATGTGTCATACTTTCATATCCATTCTACACTTGACACTCTATATATACAAACATTAAACAATTTAGACTGAGGACGTATTTTTTTTCATAAAACCACTTATCATTACCAAGTAAAATAATCTGTAACAACATGATGATGAAATCCCCACTTACACAATGTATAGTCCATAGAATGTAAATAAACACTTTCAACTCTGCATTTTGTCAGTGTCCTTTTGTTTTTTCTTCTTTTTTTTTTCTTTTTTGTTTTTTTGTTTTCTTTTCTTTATCGTCGTAGTGTGTTGTTAACACAGTATTGGTATTCATATTTAAGAAAACAGCTTGGATATGACCATGATACATACACAAGGACTGTGCGATCAGGATTTTATAAAAGTGATGGTCAAAAGTAATACGTGATTTGTGTGATACAAGAAACCAAAAGACTTTTTCTATTCCCTGCCTGCCCCCTTTTTATTTTACATAAATAAAAAAACATTTCGATAATCGTAATTTCTTTTCTTACTACTTCAGTTTGTGCCTTCCTTGTTGAGATACAGCTTTTCCCGCGGAACACATGCAAACATCTTTCCTAACCAAATAATAATGATGAATCAGTTCATAGGATATTTGTTTCCAATGGCTGTTTAACAGAAGCTGGAAGTGTTACTAGTATATATACGACATCCGTCGTTTTTCATCGGAAATGGTTAGAACGTAGATGGCTTCCTTTCTGGGTGATCAACAATTTTCAGTGTAGCAATAGCATGGTATTTTAACATCATGGACTACCTCTTATGTTTTTGTTTTCTGTGTTGTATTCACATTTCAACAGCTTCAGGTAAGGAGCAAATACAGTATACCATTATTCATATCCATGTTTCTATTCAATGGCTGTAACTTTACACGCTGTACAGTATAATATCTTCATAGCTTATCAGTAGTAAAACATGTAGGTAGGTGATGAAGTTAGTGCTAAAAATAAAAGTAAAGTATTCGTTAGAATGTCTTGTTTGATTAATTTTGGCCGATAACTAATTAACTAATTTTGTACCTAAATCTACAAAATTAAGATTTCTGATATGAAAAGCTCCAAAAGCATCACACCACTGTTACATGGTATCAATTTGCATTTTTGCAACAAATTGAAAGAGAAAATAAGATAATAATTTAAAAGTTTTTGATTTAAATGTAAACATACCATAGACGTCCAAATCACACAGGCGATTTTAGTACCTTTAGAATCTTAGATAGGTTAAAAAATAATAACATGATGGAAGACTATGACTGACAGTCACATCTACACAGATTAAAGATCTGTTGGGTTAACTTCTGATTAATATTTTCAAATTTCATGTTATGTACATGTAGATGGATACAATAGAAATGCTGTGCAATTATCCTTTTAATGCGGTATTTATAAATACGACATTCTCCGACTCGATAGTCATCCATACGGTAATCATTATATAACATTCACTTTATACTAACACTTTACTCACTAACGCGACATTCATTCATACGATATTCACTATCATTTTACTCACTTTCATGACATCAATTAATACGATATCCATTTAAACGATTCTCACTAATGCAATATTCATTAACGCGACATTCGTTTCAGTGAATGTTGCCCTGAATAAGGCAGCTCAACAGAGTTCTACATACCTCACCTATGTAGCTGCAAATGTTGTTGATGGAAATCCCACATCTGACTGGACAGTGGTAACATGCAGTCATACTGACCATACTGATTCTAATCCGTTCTGGATGGTTGACTTAGGAGAAAAGATGACATTGGAAGGATTTAATATCACATACAGACAAGAAGGTAAGTTAAACAAGTCAGAAACCAAGCATTTATTCGTGTATTAACTACAAAGTTGTTAACAACAAGGTAGTAAACAATAAGAAAGTTAATACAACAACTATTAATGCAGGTTAGTTCAGGTAACTGGACCGGTATGCATGTATAGAACAGAGTAATTGTAGTATAACAAAAATGTAGTACATGATAATTGTAGTGTATTGAAAAACAGAGTAACTGTAGTAGGAGAAATACATCTGTTTGTATAAAAACACGATAACTGTATGAGTAGGTTAGTGTAACTGATGGGATAGTATGAATTATGGAAGCGTTAGCATAGGAAAGACGGGAACAGATCGGGTAGAATAAAATTATTGTACGTAACTCTAGTATGAGAAATACTGTAACTAATCGGGTAGAATATATTACAGTAGCCGTATAATTGCTTTTCAATAACATGTAATAATATGTTAAAAGCTTTGATTATTGTAAAATCTTACAGGCAGACTTAAGAAATGGACATAAGTTCCACACTTCATCACTATCTTTGAATCACTTGTTCGTCATTCACCAGTTTTCTGAAAAGCTGATTGTACGATGTTACGTTTTGTTTCAGCTGATGACGCGTTATTAGGTAATTATGATAAAAATCGTCTGCATGTACGGACTTTTCATACTTGATGCCAGGTAAGTGTGACGTGGATACGATAGACGATATTTCAGATATAACTCTGTTGTGCCTAATATTTTTATCAACATGTAAACCAGAAAAAACACTTGTCTTTATCAATAACGGATGGGAATGTTAGGCATTACAGACAAAATGTAATTGCCAACATCGAAAGCCTCACCTATTTTTAGCTTTACAAATATTTTGTGGACATATTGACCTGACATAATGAACTTTACCTGGAAATTACAGCTTTTGCATGTGTATACGTAGTATTCGCTGAGAAACTCCTCTTGTGCAGAGACAGCAGGAACGTTATGTTTTGATACAATCTTTAGTTTAGGTACTCAGATGTCACAATAAATATGAATGAACAGATTAACAACATATATGTAGCTACTACAGTGTTGTAGGATAGACAAAGCATGACGAATACGGATTCACTATGAGATGTTATTCCTCATATTTTCTTTGATGTCAAAGCTATTACGACGTAGTCAAACTACCTTCAAGTCTGTATTTCTGTGCTGGTGGGTTATTAGTTCTCGATGTTTTCCCTAACCCGCAGTTCTATGGAAATTATCATATATCTGTCATTACGAAATGTGTTAAATTATGGGGCTGGTGTAACTCCATAGCTGGATTTTCACGCTACTACTTGGCCTGCTTGGCTTCGAAATCTAATCTAGGTCCATAGCATCACAGACGAGTCCTACAAGGACGAAACGGCTGAATGATGCAGTTTTGTTCATTATTTATCTCTACAATTCTAAATTACGTACGTGAATTAACTATATGTAGAATATCATAAGAATATATATTATTTTGGTTCAGTTGACGAATCGATAAAATGCATGCATCACACTACAATAACTATTGATTAATTGATCGTATCAATCGTATGTATTGTAGTGAACTTCGAACTAACGATTCCACATAGCCTAACACTTAGGTATAGTTTACCTTCTGAAATAGCTGTATATTCTCAACAATGCAAATATTTTCACATTGTTCACTTTTTTGTCCTAAAGATATTGATTTTGATATGGCGTGATATTCTGATAAATTGCTCTGATGTTTTCTATCCGTTTTGCTACGCTGTAAAGGAATTTTACTTTCTCGATCAATAATATCATTTAAAATATCAGCAACGCATGCTAAATGTAAGTCCCTCACAAATCATAGGCAGTGCATTTAAATCAGGATATTGTTGTTACTTGTCAATACAGAGGCCCCTCGCATGAGTGGGTTCAGACTTATCGTGTCAAATACTTCGATTATGGTGGATGGTATCTCTGGTACACTGTGCTACGAAGAAACTCGTCCTAATCCGCCTACAATACAGTACATCGACTGTTTCGTCATCGGTCAGTATGTTTTTTATGAAGATCCAACCACGGCGCCAGGTGACACAGTTCCGTTCATCGAACTCTGCGAGTTGGAGGCGTTTGGTATGCAAGATAAAAACGCCGCTATATTTCTATCTATACTTGCTAATCATGGAATATTCCATAGAACAACTTTAAAGTACAAATTATGCATATTCCTAAATGTTGGAAATCCAGTTATATCATAGAATGCTTATTTGTCACACATCGTGTAATGTACATATATGCGAATTTAAAGAGTATGTCATCTCAGGGACATTAAAGGTGTAATTATTCTCATTAATTTCAATAACATAAGTAATATCATAAGTATGTGGAATACTTGATTAACAGATTACACATAAGGTGATCTAACAACATGTGTTTTTGTGTAAAGGATGTCCGAACGGATACTATGGTGCGGATTGTAATATTTCTTGTGTGGAAAGTTGTGTGTCCGGTATTTGCCATCCGGATAATGGGACTTGTGTGTATGGTTGTCAGCCAATGTTGATTGGAGACAAATGTGATCAAGGTAAATTGTTGCAAGACTCTGCCTGTTATTAACAGTGACTGGTTGTTACGTCCATCCGCCATGATTACAAAACAAAATTGAAATCATTAATAGTTTCGCACCATTCATAGAATTTAAGAAAAACGAGTACTATAATGTTGTTTATATTTTGGATCTTTTTCACCAATGGAAGATTTTTACAGACACAATGTTAATTTAGATAGCTCCTCATGATTCTCAGTCTAAAAGAACACAAAAACGTAAACCAAGAGAAATCTGGTATCATTGGGGAGAATTAGTAAAAGAGAAACAATTCTTACAGACTCCTGTAGTTTGGGGTTCTCTTTTCATGGCAGGTCTGTGACTTTCTGGGTCATTTTTAAGAATAAATTTCATAACAATGAGTTCATGCAATTTTGATTTTGAAACTGCACGACGCTCATTACCCTCAAGTAAAAGGTGACATATGTAAGTAATTAAGATTAAGTAATTTGTATTTTTCAAAGATAATTATCCCTTCGAAAGTTTACTCATATACTATGACAATCTTCATCCTTCCGATGTTTTTTTCATTAAGTAGAAGTGGTACGTTTATTTGTTCTCGCCTGTAAAACAAAGCATAAATTATTGATAGTACAAAAGTCGCCAATGCTAGTTACTGATGGACATATGAATAATAATAACCTGTGTTCCTTTTTAGTTTGTATGAACGGTACCTGGGGCGACTTTTGCAATAAGACCTGTTTCTGTGACATCGACACGTGTAATATCTCTACGGGGATGTGTCAGGAGGACAGGTGTCAATCTGGATGGCAGGGCATGCATTGTAACCAACGTAAGTGCAGAATAGTGTGACGTCGTTGTCCGTGTAAAAATGGACATATGCTACATAGAAACAAAACTACACCTCCTGATATTTTGACTTCAGTGTATCCAATGTTTGGATATGAAAACATCACGTTGATCTTACATAGTGTTTATCATGTTACTTCTCTTTAAAATAATTGTACTGACATAGATTACTTTCCAGATGAGTTTTTTTCGATACGCCTGTCTGAACAACAGCAACTCATAAAAAAGCGTCAAGGGTTGAATTAGGACCTCGGGGTGTCATTTACAATGTGAAAATCCTTAATGTTCAGGAGCTGCTCTTATCTTTCGTTAGATTCTCATAAAGCCTAAAAATGTGACAAAAACAAACTGTTATCTATCTCTATACTGCGTATTTTCAGCATGTGATGAATGGACGTTTGGACCGTCTTGCAATTACTCATGCAATTGCCTCAATTATACTTGTGATCCAATGACCGGAATATGTCCTGGAGGTTTATGTATGGATGGATGGAAATTGGACATGTGTCATGAAGGTTTTAACACCATTAAGTTTCGTTTCGTTAAGCCTTGTCATGGAATATCGTAACCACACACGTAAAAGCAATTCTCCATGCAGTTCAATGTTTCTGATGCAAATTAAGAAAAAAATATTATCCGAACTTAGACAGTCTATTTAGTCAGAATAGGTGCAATAATCCATATGCGAATCTGGCTAGACAAGACAATAAATGGAGAACTAAATGGTCAAATGCCTTTAGAAATGAATAGTGGACAAATTTTACATCAGGTACACAAATGTAAAAATATAATGACGAATTTAACGTTATATCTGTAATGATGTTATAACAGAGATTTTGGTTTTTAATTTCTTGTTAACGAAGACTTTTTTAGTTCTAGGGGAGGGTATTTTTATTATTATTTATTATTTTCATATTTTGCATGTATGAAATAGTATGCTGTGACTTCTTAACTTGAACTGTTTCTTTTTAGTTTGTGATACTAACATGTACGGCCCTGGCTGTAACCTTACTTGTGGTGAATGCTACAACAGTACGTGTGATCATGTAACTGGTTATTGCCCTGGACTGTGCTCACCAGGCTGGAGTGGCCCAATGTGCAGTACACGTTAGTAAATATGAATCTTTATAACGAAATTTTAAAATCAATTACACCGAAATTTAACACTGATCCATATTTTTATTCCACGTTTGACAATTTAATTTATTAACAAAATACTTTTTAAATGACAGTTCAAATAAATGTAGTTGTACTATTACACTAATTGCACCACAAAATGATATTATTGTGACGTAAATGTTGAAGGGGACGATGATAAAAATAATTTTCAAGCAGTACAAAAGGAGTAACAATTACAATGTAAATGAATGCTTTGTGTAAAAATACGTTTTGTAGTAAGAAATGCTATCTGATTATATTCGTATAAAAAATACTCTTCCTCCACTGACAGCCTGTCCAGCTGGTACGTTTGGTATGAACTGCACTGGGAGTTGTAACTGTCTTCCAAACGGAACATGTGATCCGGTCAGCGGATATTGTCCGAATGGCGACTGTGATAGAGGATGGATGGGATTAACTTGCAGTGATAGTGTGTATAAGCTTTTACTTCATGATTGATGTCATTGTAGTATTGACTGTATACACACAACTGACTCATTACTATTATCGTGTTCGTTCACAAAACCAAATACGTGATATTAATATGTGAATGACTTTGCAACAATGTATATAAGATTATGCAAACTCGAAAATTAGCAAGTGAAAGAGTGTTACATGTATTCAGATATTCATCCTAATACTTTATTAACTTATACACTTTTTTATAAACTCTTCTGATGAACCCACTCGGTGGTAGTATATATTATATTCCTATCAACAAGCAAATTTTTAATACATAATACCAATAAAAAATCAACGTCTTGTAGAACGCAGTGTCATGAAGAGACTCTTCATTTTCTTACAAAATCTCATTGAAACACAATATAGTTTTGTGAATAGTTTTGTTTCAGTTTAAGCAGTAACTTAATATTACCTAAGCGCTTTTTCGTGATTTGTCAGCCTTATTTCAAATGTTCACTTAAATATTGAATACTAATCTTGTATCCCTTTGAAAATTTTCAGATTGTGCCTGGAATAAATTTTCGTACAATTGCAATGAAACTTGCCACTGTGTTAACAATGAAAGTTGTCCCTTTGAGTATTGTTACAATGGCTGCGAACAAGGCTGGCAGACATTATTCTGCAATGAAAGTAAGATTATTGAATATCAATCAACAGGATAATCACTCATGAATAACTTGGAAACAGTATAGTTTTCAATTTGATATATAATGTGTTTTACTTTATATGATTCGTTGATAAACAGAGCATATTCCAGATTAATAGATATGATATTTATGGTTATAAATGAGTGCTTATCTTTAAAATGACATTTGCTTTGAAATAAATTAACCATTCTGAAAGACTTGCTTTCGAATTCTGAAGGGTTAATGTCAACATTTGCATCATAATTTTTCGCCATCTCTGAGTTTTTATCTCATGATTATTACAGAGTGTGAAATGTACAAGTATGGACGTAACTGTCTGAGCACGTGCGGTCACTGTAAGGATAATGAGACATGCTACCACGTGGACGGCGTTTGCTCTAATGGATGTGGACCTGGCTACCAAGGCGACAAATGTGACACAGGTGAGTATGTGTGTGGATATGCACATAAGTGTGATTAGGTGTTTTACATTTCAAGTATGAAAAACCACATCGATACTGTATGATGATATTTTTTTAATAATAAGGCCGAAGCTATCGGCTATTCTGATGTTATCATGATAATTGAATGAATGTCGACTTTCATTATCTAAACCTGTTGATAATCAATACAAACTAAATAACTCAAACAACTGGTATTTTACAACATTCACAATATCGCTCGCATTGCCAAAAAGTGTCATTGTATGACATCTATTTTTTCTTTGATTTTTATATTTTGACAACTTATTCAAACTTCTATAAATCATTTAGATGTGACATTCGTCAAATGATATCCAGTTCAAGTGGAGCTTTCTTACTTTTCAGAGTGTTCAACAGGAACTTTTGGTGAAAATTGTTCTCAACTTTGTTTCTGCATGTTTGGTAGCTGTCATTATGTCACCGGCAAGTGCGACATAGAAGTCTGTCAAATGGGCTATAGGGGACCATCGTGTAGTGAAGGTAAGTTAATATTTGTATCAGATTTGCTATAGGGGACCATCGTGTAGTGAAGGTAAGTTGAGACGGTTGTCAAAATAGACACAGAAGACTATCATGTAGTAAAGGTACGTGTGAACATGTTTCATACTGGTTATAGTCATCTTCGTGTTTTGAATTAAGCTTAGATATGTGTAAGACACATGTTATAATATAGTGAAGGTAAGTTTAGGTGGAAGTGACCATCTTGTTGTAAAGGTAAATTTACTAAGTGTATAGAGGTCATACACTGTCAAATTAAAGTATCAATTATTGATGTGCCTGAAAAACTCAGGAAGCTGACTTTAAAAAATAATATCGCTACCATTTTTTTTTCATTAAAAAAAAGGAATATTTATTGTGCGAAATTGTTTAATGAAATTAAGGATTTGGTTTTTAATCAGTGTGCCTTCCTGGTCAGTTTGGTGAAAACTGTTCGATGACGTGTCACTGTTTAGTTGATGGTTGCCAACCTAGTGATGGCCTGTGTATTGAAAATGCCGGCTGTGATGCAGGATGGCAGGGCCCTTCATGTAGTCAAGGTACTGTATAAAATATCTACTATTATTACAATGGAGAAAACACAAACACAAAACAGTTAAAATAGTTCCATAGTTTCCTTTCCAGTTTTCGAACGGAACAAGGAAAAGTAAAATTGACTTCTATTCACTGTGTGGCTCTATTGTATCTTATTGTATTGTATTGAAATGTGCTCTTCATTTGTGTGATTTTTTTTCAAAATCATCTAGCCCTTCTCTAAGGTATAACTATTTTTTTATAAGTAAAAAAATGTTGTATTTATTAAAATCAATTAATTTCTCCCTGAAAACTAACATTACATGCCCTTAAATAGTTATAATAAAGACTTATCATGTGAATACCACATTTTCATAGGAGTCCAGAACAACATGAACTATATTCCTTTAATTAAGATAACTGTTCAGAACTGTTTTTTCACGATGTGGTTATTCCATGAAGATCTGGACCGGAAGTGTAGAAAAATGTAATGGAACAAGAAAGCGTGCGAAACAGAATTGTAAGGGAAATGGATGAAGGGGAAATTGATGATAGGGAGATAAACAGAAAAAAATTAATTGTATGGAGACACGATTACCAACAATTTCATCAAGTTGATCATCTTTAATGAATGTATAACATTTGTAACATTGTCGTATTCAAGCTACGGAAGACTTTGAAAGATGATCAAAGAGAGTTTAAATGCATTAATTGCAGGTGATTGTCATGGAGAAAATTATTATAGAAACTTTAACTTGATGGTTGAAAACTTTACTAAAAAATAAAAAAACAAATAGATTTTTTTTTCATTTTTGTTTGTATTTAATCTAAACTGTTTCCTTGTTGTTCTAATGCATCGATCTTACCGACCCTTTCTTCCAATTCAGTATGTAATGCATCATCTTTTGGAGCCGACTGTACAAAGCAGTGTGGTTACTGTCTGATGGGAACACCATGTCACCATATTAATGGTAGTTGCCCTGACGACTGTGAGGTTGGATTTCAACAACCTATGTGCATGGAAGGTCAGTTCTGGTAATAGGTACACATTGTTGAGTTGGAGTTTCTCATATTTTATTAGATAAGCTTCGAGCAGTTATAATTAGAATCTAAATTATATATGTAATTAACAATTAAGTACGGAACAAGGCATCTTTAATTTCATATAAATCTCATTTTGACCAACACCATTGACCTAACTAATTTATTTGTATAACATATACATTGAACAGCATGTAATGATGGAACATATGGAGTCAATTGCGACCAGATATGTGGGGCCTGTAAAAACTCCGTGATTTGTGACCACAAGTCCGGAGTTTGTCCCAGTTCCTGTGAACCTGGATGGACAGGGCTGCTATGTAAAACAGGTAAAATATCATTTAGCTAAGAACGCGAGAATAAGAGAGAAGTTGTGGTCTTTCACTTCTACATAGAAATATATATCAAATCACAAATGTCTATCCATTTAACTAAGTCGAGTTCTGAATTTTGAAGCCAAGGTAACAGGGAAAGTATGAACTGTCCAACAACGTTTCACGATATCAGATGACTAGTTCTTTTTTTAATTCATTTTATAGTTGTTGTTTTATTTTCTTGCGTCGTTATATTTTGAAATGTAACTTGTTTAGTTTTTCTTCTTCGTATTGCTTTTAAATTTTGCATTTACACAGTCGTTTGGTACAACAGCAAAAATCCTACATTAATATTCCTTTCATTCGTGTTTTTCTGAAGCATGTAACCCTGGTAACTATGGAGAAGATTGCAAACAGATATGTAACTGTAGAAACAATGTGTCTTGTGACCCAGTCGCAGGCACGTGTCCGCGAGGCGAGTGTGACGTAGGATGGACAGGCTCCGCCTGTAGTGACCGTAAGTATCTAGAGGCACTTTTGACCGTCAATGCTAAACATGTTAAGGGATTAACCACCCGAAACACCTACCAACAATGTAATATCTTTGCAGATTTGTCTAGCTTTTGAGATGTCGGTTATATTAATGATGCAATTTATTTTTGGTATTCTTAAACGGTTCATGAATGGAACAATTTAAAGCGTCAACAACAGCTATAAATAAGAACTGGAGCCCATCTGGCCAAGAAAATAGAATATCTGATCGCATATATACCTTTTGTCAATTATTTTCATAATTTGACCTACAACAATTTTTATACATTCTGTGTGCATATTTTACTCTTTGGAACTGTTTAATTTGGCTGTCAGTCTGTCCACTCGGTACATATTCCTACAACTGTCAGAAGAAATGCAACTGTCTAAACGGCTATTGTAATCCTGTGGACCCGGATGGTGTATGTCCCCCTACCGGATGTTTATCAGGATGGACAGGAGTGTCTTGTAATGAAGGTAAATAGTGGATTATTTTTAACTTGAAGAAAGAAATTATGGATTCTAAAGAGCGTTCTTATTCGAACAATCACGAGCCCTATGTAGGACTTTTTTCTTCAAGTGAATGAGACACGATGACGCGTTTGTGGTAAAAGGATAAATTATATAAGATACTTAAGAAAGAAAATTTCAACTTTTATCATAAAGACAAAATGATGTGAAAACAAGAGCTGCTTTTAAATATGATTTTATCTTTTACTTTTAACATACTGTTACAAACGTTGTATATCTTTGATAATCATTTAGAATTTGACAGCGATGTTGTGTTGTAATACCGATTACAGTACAGTACATTTTCCTCCTCAAAACGGTTGAACTGGTTTCTGTAATATATTCTTGCCAAGTGCTTCTTTCAGTCTGTCGCAATGGTACCTACGGTCCATCGTGTACGTGGATATGTGGAGCGTGTTATGCTGACGTACCATGTGATCACATGTCTGGTGTGTGCCCTTCCGGATGTTCGCCAGGCTATACTGGTCTAACTTGTATCGCAAGTAAGTATCGGGTAGTATAACTGTACAATGAGAAAAGGTGAGGTAAGAATTTAGTCATATATATATATAAACATATGTTTTGACATCTCGTAGAAGTGCAGATACAAAAGAACCCTAGTCTTTCTGTTTTCTACTTCAACTTCAACTTTGCAATTGCAAGCATATTATGTAACGTACCTGCCACTTTAAACTATTGGCTACTACGATCAGATAATCCGATAACTTTAACACTGGTCTTAAATTTTTAATGAAATACTGTAGGAATGTTTTAATATCTTTTTACTTTGAAGAGGACAGAAACAAAGATACTTCACTGCAATGATCAAACTGGGATGCTTATGACCTTTTCAGTCATGTTTATATAACTACCTTCTTTATATGACCCTACCATGGGATCCTACCACGAGAACAACCCTGATTAAAAACATTTGCATTTTTTCCAGCGTGTAATAATTGGTGGTATGGCCAGGATTGCTCAACAAGGTGTGGCAATTGCCATCAGGACGCCATATGTAATCCTGTTACGGGTTTGTGTCCTAACGGACTTTGTAACACCGGCTGGAGTGGACTACAATGTACTGATGGTAGGCAACGATTTATACACAAACTATACTGCGATTTAATAAGCTAGGCAGTATACTAATCACCGGTTAACTAATCAATATGTTAGGATTATGGTAGAATTTAACGAAGAATGCAATGCAATGCTCTTTTTATGAAGATCCATAATAGAAGGTTTGATTATTTGGAATCAAATATGGCTGAACACTACAGAGTGATACAGTCGAATGTTCTATAAGCAGCTGTATGTCTTAAGGCTATGATATTGGCCGATATTCATTATACAACATGTTTAAGATGACAACACAGTAATTGCAGTATTATGGATAGTGGCATGACATTGCCTAAGTAACTGCTTTAATTCTTATTAGAAAAGTATATTTTAAAAAACAACAACAAAAACTAAAGAAAAGAAACACAAACCAAAAAAAACAAAAAAACAAAAAACAAAACAATACATTGTGCTTGAGCAATTTTGAAGTAAAAATGTAAAGGTAAATAATTTGTGCGGTATGAAACTTAAGTTTGACTGTTGGTTCCGTTTCAAGATTTACATGGCAGTTGTCGTCGATGAAACAAAAGACGCTTACTCTTCCGAGACAACTGTACCTATTTTCCTTGTACTTTTGCAGGAGCCCCCGTGTAATTTTTTCTTTTGTTCATATTTGGCTCTAGTTTTATTGAATTTGAATTTGGATAATAATTGGTATTTTCTTCTTGTTGTTTGTTGTTTTGTAAACAGATCCTAAATGCAATCGCACTAGATTCAAGTAATACTCATACAATGTAAATTATTACCTAAGATGAGCGGAAAATAAATCTTGATACTTGCCTTACAAGCATTTCATCTAATTGATTCAGCATGTCCTCCGACAAGATACGGTGAAGGATGTCAGTCATTGTGCTCGGAGAATTGTGTCAATCAGGAATGTGACCGATTTAACTCTTCCTGTACGTCTGGCTGTAAATCTGGATATCAGGGACATGCATGTACAGACCCGGTGGTACTGAGATTAGCCGATGGTAGAATCAAAGACAAATTGGCAAAAAAAATTATAATTAGCAGAAATAATAAACAATAATTGAAACTAAAAAATCGATAGTGATTAATGCCATGACGTTTAAGTGTATATACACATTGGAAACATTTTATGATACTTCAATACAGAACTCTGATTTCTAATCTTTCTTCATTTGGTGAATTAATTACAATGTCTCCTATTGTGAGAGAAGTAAATAAGAACCATCACTATAATCAAGCAAACCATGATGACTTGCACTAAAGTTCATTTCACAGTAATGAATCACGTTTCTACATTCTATTATTTTTGCTTTGTTTTTATTTTATTTTTGTTATTTTTTCGAGATCATTGGGCTGAGCAAACCAATCTAGTGCTCTACGTCATTGCGGGGATTCTGTTCTTGCTTGCCTTTTTGGCGGTGTTGTGCTGTCTAAGACGGTATCAGTAGCTTCAATATTGTTTTATATCGAATAATATCTGTTTTCGAGACTACATTTAAGTCGACGTTGAAATATTGTCATTACTATTCTTTTAATTCTTATGTTATTACAAATGTTCCAAGGAAAATGACAGAACTAGGACTTAAGTCTCTATAGTGTATTTGTCTTTCGATGAAATCACATTACGATTTCGATAACATCAATTACTTTTACAAATGCAGAAAATATTTTATTCGTTTTTATTAATTATGCAGTTTTGTGTTTATGTATAAAATGAATGGAACGTATTTACGGCACTTGTGAAATGCTTAGATTATCTGATTTCCTTAACCATAATTTTCCAACGAGAACGTAACAATTCCTGAATGGCAATGCAGGATAGTAGATAAGTGTGGGTTAGTGAACATGTGCTTGGTTATATATGGTCGTGTTAACAACGATTCCAGTATGTGTTGATATAAATATGCATACTTGCTGTACTGTTTATTATCAAAAAAACAGAAGGAGCATTTTCAAAGGGGTAATTTTCAAAGTTGCCAAAAAAGCAAATATAAAATCTTCTCTGTATTGATGCCTTATATCTTGATTTTTAGATTTTGTATTGGAAAATTTCCAAAACAATTCCAACCATGTGTGTTTATATTGTAATGTAAAAAGAACAGATTTGAGAAAAATCCTTATGTCGTTTCTTCAGGAAAAACTAACAAAAAATTATAAACACGGAAAGATTTAGTAATGCCGACCCCTGTTGAAAATTTAAATTACTGGGGATTCTTCCTTTTTATTATGATGTACACAAGCTGGGCGTAATGACATCGCTCACCAAAAAAATCCTTTGTTTTACAGACGGACATTAAAGGAAAAGAAAATGACCGCAGTGGGAATTGATATTGAGGAACATGCTGTTAAAGGTGAGTATACCATTACCAACACGATGTGTAACATGCCAGTTTTTTCTCTTTAAGAACAATTGTCAAACCAGCTAACAGCTTATATTAATCAAGGCAAGAACAATACTACTGCTCCACCCGACCACCCAAGTATTGGAGAATGTAAAATATATGTTAGCGTCATCATTAAATTAACATTTCCATGGACTTTTTGTTATTAATGTTACAAACAAACTCTGTATTTGAACAAATGTGAACCTTAAAGGTACACATTTACACGAGATGAAATGCAAACGTTTATATTATGTAAAGAAATCATCCATATTGATGGTTATGGAGTAATGCTTGATTATCGCAGAATCGAAGCCGTAAATGCATGTTTATGATCGCATGTAATCTTTAGAATTTATTGTTTTGCTATCAAAACAGTTTAAAATCGCTTATCTAGTAAGCAACAGATAGAATCGTGCTTATATAACATTTTGTACATCTTGTACATATTATCTATTACGGGGTTCAAAGATAATCCATCATTTAAGTATGGCACAGGATAATTATTCTAAACATGCGCTTTCAACTGTTATGTCTTTCCGGACGTTTACGGTGTCTTTTCACTTAATTCACTGATCCAGTGAAGTTGCACCGTTGAACGTTAATTATGCCTTGTGTAAATGCAGTCTTAAGTTAAGTTTTTAAGTACTAGTCAAGGTTGATGTTTTTTCATTAGCTGTGTTATGACTTCTGTTGAAATTCATGGTCAATGTTCTATTGTTCTTTAGATAGAAATATTTCAAACATGTGTCTTTATCATTGATATGAAAGTAAGTCACGAAATAGCGAAGCATAACAATTGTATTTTCTTCATAAACATTAATTCTTTGAAGTATCACCACTGTATGATCTGTACTTTCGACCAGTTGGAGGAAGTGTTCCGAATCCGGACATAAAAGCTGATGACGGCAAACAAAGTAAAATGGGGACATCAATGGAAGACTTGCCGACAGATGATCAAGCTACGCTTGTTGACAATCAACTCAATTCGGCAGATGAAAAACCCGAGCCTGTAGTTGAACCAACGGAAATTTTCGTCTTGAAAGAAGAGATGGATGCCGACGAAGACAATGAAGACGACAATGATGAAGATTATCCAACTGGTGACGTCGGACAGACTGGTATGGGGTCCATATCACTGGCAGCGAGGTCGGGAACCGACAAGAACTCGGACATGCCAGTAGCAACGACTTACGGATTTATGATACCTGAAATTGCAGGAACAAGAATTGTACTGTCAGGATTTGTTACTACTATTAAAGATAAAAAGCAGTTCGGAAATTTGGCAAACGAATTTAAGGTAAATGGTAAAGTACATAAGAATTTCTTTTCTAATTTCTTTTTTTTTCTTTTATGTTGTATACATTTTATAATCAATACGGTTCCAATCATTCACCTAAAATTTATTATCAATTACATTCTTCAATAAAAAGAATGGTTTTATTAACAGATAACAACAAGAATATACACCATGTAAACGTATTCGTAATCAAAACTAAAAGTAAATAAAACTAGGACAAAATATGCGATTTCTGTAAAACCGTAAAGGTTATAACCAGCTGCTGGTAAAACCAAATACTGCATTTGTATTTCCATGAAATTATATTTTTCGTTTATGTATTTCTATTTTATTGAACAAGAGCAATATGGGGCGTATCAAGTTAATTAAAATTTTTGTGTTTGCCTTCAGTGGTAACAGAGTTCGAACATTGCTGTTGATCAGTATTTTCAACAGAATGAGAAAAACGTGGTTTCAATATTTACCTTTACGTTAAAAAGTATTTATTTGTTAATTAAAATCGAAAATAGGGATGTTGATCCTTAATCATCACCTCGGCTCCCGAAATAATGAATAAATAAATAAGTAAAGTATGTAAGTTCTGTGCTCCATGTAAGGATAATGCATTTTCATCAGTGTTTTTTCTTCAAAAACATGTTTGGCCAATGTCCTCAGATCGGAGACAAATCTTGGGATGTCAGCCGTGGCATCTTAATATTTGTCCAATTTATGTAAAGATATGTGAGTAAGCCAAAATTCATAGTCAGAGATGAAGAACCTAATGCTCTATGTTTAGAATTTACCAGAAGGTCGTCAGCACCCGGTGGAAGAAGGCAAAAGGCCAGAAAACAAAGCAAAGAACAGATTTCGAAACATTCTTCCATGTAAGTTTCGTGTATCGATACGTATTTGTCATCTAAATGTCTGATACTTGAAACAACTTCGTACACATCTATAACAGGTAAGGTTGTTTATCTTGAAGATATTTGTATGATAATGCATAAACAAAATTTTTGTTGTTCTTTGGATCGAATCAGGTTGAGAAAGGGTTTAACAAAATATGTCTTGATTGCGACGGTTTTCTGGTCAGTATTTAGTTAGTTATAGTTTAGAGATGATACATGTGATTAAATCATTTTAATGCATTCCATAAATGCAGATGATCATTCAAGAGTTGTCCTGGAGGATGAAAACGGAGAAAATGATTATATCAACGCAAGCTTCATTGACGTAAGTTGGATATGCATAAATAATTCGTTATCATATTGGGTGTATTTGTCGTAGCAAAACAACATTTACATAATCAAATCGTTCGGAAGATAAGTTTAAAGCATAAATTTAATAAAAGGTATTCGTATTGAAGGCATTTCTAAAGAGTTATTGAAAAGTTACATGTATTGTCTACTATCAGATGCTGGCTGTTTCCGCAGGAGGAACTTTAACTTCCTAGCGTGAAAGTCTTGGTATGACTAACACATTAGAGACACATGGTTTCGTAACGTATCTGATGACATTTCTTCGACTTTACATCCAATTTCTTATGCAAATAACGATTTTCACGAACTGCTTATTTTAACACACTAACTAGCATTGATATAAGGTCCTCATCGTACGGCATACATGCAGTATAAAGTTTTTTTAAATGTTGAAATTGTTTTACAGGGCATGGACAGTGAACGACAGTACATTGCTACCCAAGGTTTGTGTAGAACACTTCCGAAATACACATAGATAATACTTTAAACACCATATGACTTCAATCGTCTCTCTGCTTAATCATTATATTTCATAACATCTACAACTGACGTGGATATAATTGAATTACTCCATTGTGTATTGATTTGGTTTCATCTCCTCATACGACAGTTTCTATGTTTATTACAGGACCCAAGCCCGACACGGTGGCTGACTTTTGGCGGATGATATGGGAAAACAATTGTGGGAAAGTGATGATGTTGGCGAATATTATGGAAAAGAGCAGGGTAGGATTTATATCACTGTTGTTGATTTTCTCATTTTTAAAACAGATTCATGCGTAGAAAGATATTATTTAAGTTTACCTGTTAATTTCAATGAACAACTTTCGACACAAAATCCAAATGGTAACACATAAAGTATAAAAGTCACAATACCGTGATATTAGCGTTTCAAAATTATTTATTTCCCTCACATCGTAAATCTTTCTACGAACGTGTTCGAAACAATGACTTCACTGATCTATCAGAATTTCTTAAATGACCTTTATTTGTTCACGAACATTGCTTTCTGTGTTGTGTAAGGTTTTTGATTATCTAAACCAAAAAGATATAGAAAACACCCTCTATCATCCAATATTTTTTATTTGACTATCACAAACACAATCTCTTGCATAATCTTCTTTTCGCTTACCTTCATAACCATATTTGCAATCGAATTATTGACATCATTTTTTTTTATTTTAATGTTGATCAATTTCGAATGCAAAATAAGATTTTTCAGTATAATAAAATGTATATGTTTGACACAGTCGAAATGTCACCAGTACTGGCCTAATGTGTCAGAGACCGGCCAGTATGGAACGTATGTAGTCAAAACGATGAACGAAAAGAAGGGGACCAGTTTTACTGTTCGTGAGATACAACTACATCGTGCCCAGGTAAGCTCACACCCAACCACTATCCCATACCAAATGAATTTCCCGTACCCAATCACATTTCATCAACAGCCATTGTCAAGTATTCAATGACTGTCCAATATTCAATCCAACCAGTCCCATCTTCAACCATTGTCCAGTATTCAACCACTGACACTACTGCTATGTAGCAAACCACTGTCTTATACCCTACCATTGCTTCCTACCTGACGATAAGTCCACACTGTTCTCAGCCAATGCCCCACATCAAGTGATATATGCTAAAAAACAACAACAAAATCAATACCGATATGAGAACAGAATAATAATTCATATTAATTGATTGAAGTCAAATTCAATTAACCTTTCGAAAAATTTGAACAAAAGAAAGATCAACACGAGCATCACTGGAAAATAGTAGGAGAATAAGACAGGTGTTCTGGTGTATTTACGACACCTGTCATGTAAATCTTTATCAACCTATGTAGATGATATCGAGTTCCTCACAGGGAGAACAAGGTTAAAAAAACGGAGTCACAGGTGAACAAACATCGGAACAGTCCTAGGTCATATGGCACAAGGGATAGTTTTGACGGACGACTGTTAAACTTCCCCGTAATGCTGATTATTCTGCATTTCTCTAATCCATGTGTTGTAAATTTATCTGTCAGTTATCGACTTTTTGCATGGAAATATTGAGAAATCACTTGAGTATCGAATCATACGTGGCATCTTAATGATAATAATGGTATGGTATCCAGAAATGGATAATCACAATGAGGAAATTGGAAACAAAATCATGCCTACCATACAATTTGGTTTAAAGCTGTCCCTGTTTATTCCATTATTAGAAAGGATTAAGGTAAGAAGTCGATGTTGAAGAGTCTGTCGTGTCCCTGATTTTCAATTCTGTTAGAAATGTATAAAGGACAAATTAATTATTTATCATGGAAAGTCAAGATATATCAATAGATCTAAAAATGTTTTTTTTCTCGCAAAATTATTGTCACCCTCTTATGGAAACAAACACAAGTCAGCAAAGAGAGGGGCACAGTTTGTTCCCAAAGGTATGCTGAAATATTCCTTCCAACAAAAACAACGAAGATATTGTCAACCAGAAATTCGATAATTATACAAAGGTGTCCTCCATATAGTTTCTCTGAATTTGCATGTGTAACTCTCCATACCAGACAGCGGACAGTTCAAATCGTTCAAACCGTAGTCTGTTTGCTTTTAACCGTTTATGTTATCACTATTTCTTGAGACGTACTGGGTTACTTTTTTCAGTTTTCACAAATAGGCTCCCATCAGTCACTAATTGGCTCATTCAACCACTGCCAAATATTTGTTGCTTTGATGTTTGATATATTTCATTCGCAAAAACCTCAAAAATACCAAATCCAGGAAACCATTCAAGACATAAATACTCCTGACTGTTTTTCATTTTGCATATAAAAAAAATAATACATTCTGTTGAAGTGATGATTTTTTGAGATAATAAGATGATATATCTTTTGCGAAGTATTTGATTTTCCTGTTTTTGATAAGATAAAAAAAATAATTGAGTCAAACCATTTAGAGAATGGTTTTTTTACGGCGGAATTTACTCCGTTACAGTTAATCATGTTGTATGATCGATTTCTTAACAGGATGAGACCATGTCCAGGACAATACACCAGTTACACTTCACTACCTGGCCTGATCACGGCACCCCAACCGTCGAGCAGCTACTCAGATTCCATAGCACTTCAACAAATATCGAAACACCACTGCAAGGTCCAGATGTCGTTCATTGCAGGTAACAATCCGAAAATCCTAATACATCATGAACGAATTAAAACCCGAAATATGAGCAAAGAAAAATAAACGTTTGGTGATATACAGGGCGGTAAAACCATGGACGTAAGAAAGATAAACCAATTCCGCTTCATTCACAACAATTGTCATACAATACTAGGCCAACTAAAGAAATGTCATATTTTGAAACTGAGAATCTGTTAAACACTAACGACACCTTGCGGTTTGCTAATGATCATCGAGTATGTTGAAATTAATTCTTCTGCAGTATTAGTCTTTCACCAGTGAACATATACCCATGAGGTAGTGACAAGTGCCAAAGGTAGATGCTAAGAAATGATACTGTGTCTGTATGTCGTATTCGAGGTTGCTACAGAAAGAAAACGAAAATCAACTGACAAAACACGTGATTTTGTTTCCAACAAGACAAAAATATAAACATCGATGAAGTTTAGAAAGCCGTGAATAGTAAATGTTCGTTTCATATACATTCTCATTTACGTTTTGTTTTCAGCTAAACATAGATGAAGTGGGGAGAAAAATTGAAAATTGTGATATCACTACAAGTTAACATTATCATTATACATCACAATCTTCTCGTCAGATATCCGCTCGTTTCTGTGTTGTAGCGCCGGAGTAGGGAGGACTGGCACCTATATTGCCTTGGATGCGCTATGGAAACACGCTCGATACGCAACCTCTCTGGATGTGTACGAGTATACACTTAAGATGCGGAAAGACCGAATGAACATGATACAGACTTTGGTAAGTGTCTTCGTGAATATCTCTAACACAGAGATTAGCTAATGTAGATTTGAGGATTGCTTTTAGTATCTAGTATCATAATAGTATGTTTGGTGTGGTGCAGACATAAGTATAGATATCAATATAGTTGAAATGGTGTAAATAGTGGTAAATGTTGTTATTTTCATAGTTTATATAGTATACACATGGTGGTAAGTGTGGATATCATTGGGATAAATAACGATAAGTTTGGATGTAAGCATTAATAACCTAGTATATGTAGTGGCAAATCCGAATTTAATTGAAGGTGATTTGGTATACATGGTGGTAAGTATGGATATTAGTATAGTTGATATGGTATATATAGTGGTAAGTCAGGATATCAGTTAAGTTTGTTATATGTAGAATGAATTAGATATTATGTAAATGTGGCAGTGAATTATAGGAATTTTATATAAGTACATGTGTATATTGTGCTTGGTTTCTTTTACAACAATGTCAGAGTTTATTGATTATTCCTGAAAATGATCGGAAAAGTAATTAAATCTGTGTTATGAATAAAGAGAAGATTCGATGTGTGCATTTCTGTGTTTCAGGACCAGTATATCTGTCTGCATGAGACGTTGGCGGAGGGACTGCCAAATGCAACGAGTTGATTTTAGTTTTTTATAGACATATTGGAAAAGCAGAGAATTGTTTTCATTTGCATCAGTAGTTATGACGTAAATACGCACCAGATTATGACTCGTATTTCCGTTAATTCTGACAAAGGGCTCCACAGTGGAGATATTTTCTTTTCTAAAAAGATGTTTGTAGTAACTCATCTACATGATTAATTAATGATTATAAATGACTGGATATAAAGTATAAAACACACCAAAACAGTATTGGTTATATTGGACTGAGTGCCTTCTGATAAAGTGTTACATTAATAATTGTCGTAATTACTAGGATACTTCTGCAAAAAAGAAATCGGATAGCCTGAACAAGTATGTAATTATGTGCTGTCCATTTTGATGTACACTGTGAAATTTCAAACCCGAGTTCCTTGCCCATAAATATACAATTAATAGTAAAGGCATCAGAGAAGAAGCTACCATCGGAGCGTAGACAATGAACTTGTGACACAACAACGTATCTTTAACGCAAATCGTGACACGGGGATAAAAAAAGATATTGTTGGAAGTCGGACATTTAACTGATTTTTACTTATCCGCCCTGAAACTGAATCCAATGCAGCATGTGTATGTTTTTCGCGTTCTTTAAAGAAGCTTTCTATGGTATTCATATAATAAACTGATGATGTAGATAAGCACTTTGTCATTTGTCGTTGATTACTGCGTTTATATTGTTTCATATAGTTATATTTCTTTAAACGTTTAATGGTATAGAATAGATTAGTCAAATATTCCTAGATTAATATTATTTTCTATTTAAACATTTTGCCTCATAAAGTACGTTCAAATGTCGAATACATTTAAAAAAAAAAAAAACAAAAAAAAAACTTTTGTATCAAAATCATTTCCATATTTTTGTCATCCACTCATTTTTTTATTAAAACGTTATATACCTTTAGATTGATTCGACTACTTCAAAGAATACATGTCTTTTTTTAAGGATCCCATTGTCGTGTCATCATTTTCTTGGTCAAACTCACTGACGGACAATCATTTCTATTATCACATGGATAATCACGAGTTTAAAATGACAACAACAAGCTACTGTTTGCAGTAGAAATAGTAAATGTGTTAACGTGATTCCCATTTTGTATTCAATTGCAAAATAAAAAGTGAAAAAAGTGATACGATGTGTTTCTGGATGATAAATGTTTTGTGAGTCGTTCTTCAGGGTACATCATGTATTGTCTTGTTAGATTTATCACGTTATTTGTCATATAAGATAGAAAACAGTGCAATAATACGCGTTGTAACAATCGAAGTTAGTTTAAAAATTACTGTAACAAATAAAGGGCGACAACTATGGTAATAAATATTAATGTTAGTACAAAGTATGTAATCACAATAGTGGTTGCTGCAGATCTTAATTTGCCCTCCAAAATGGATAAAATAATATTTTCTGAAAGTAATGGTTTCTGGATTCTTTAGTTTCAGTCTTGATGAATATAGAGAGGAAAATCAATATCGATGTAGCTAGAGAAAGAACGACAATGAAAAAAACACTGCAGTAAGGAATTCCAGTTATTCTGGTTTCGGATATTGTCATTATTACATCTTTGTGAAATAAAATATATATATATATGGGATTTGCCAATACTTGTGCGTCATTTGTGCATGTTATTTAACATATGGAAGACATAGGATCCAACAAGATCAAACTAAACTAAGTAAAACTTAATTGCAAGCAAATAACTTGTTTAGGCACTGATAGCATGCATCAACGTTAACAAAATGTTATTCTGAAATCATAGTTTCTCCGGACAAATATGATTCAATGAATAGAGCATAGATCAGGACAACTCGTATTTTTATCAAAATCAATTTTAAAAAGACATAGATACTTTACACAGTAAAGGGAGTAAAAGTACAGTAAGTGATGTATATGTATACAACTGAGTACTGTTTACAGTATACAGTCAAGGGAGTAAAATAAAGTATCTGCTGTACACGTATACTACTGATTACTGTACACAGTGTACAGTTCATGGATTAGATGTACAGTATCTGCTGTACACGTACACTACTGAGTACTGTACACAGTGTACATTTCATGGATTAGATGTACAGTATCTGCTGTACACGTACACTACTGAGTACTGTACACAGTGTACAGTTAAGGGAGTAAATGTACAGTATCTACTGTACACGTATACTACTGAGTACTGTACACAGTGTACAGTTAAGGGAGTAAATGTACAGTATCTACTGTACACGTATACTACTGAGTACTGTACACAGTGTACAGTTAAGGGAGTAGATAAACAGTAGCTGCTGTACATGTTTACAAATGAGTACTGTACACGTATACTACTGAGTACTGTACACAGTGTACAGTTAAGGGAGTAGAGGTACAGTATCTGCTGTACACGTACACTACTGAGTACTGTACACAGTGTACAGTTAAGGGAGTAGATGTACAGTATCTGCTGTACACGTATATTTCTGAGTACTGTACAAGGTGTACAGTTAAGGGAGTAGATGTACAGTATCTGCTGTACACGTATATTTCTGAATACTGTACAAGGTGTACAGTTAAGGGAGTAAATGTACAGTATCTACTGTACACGTACACTACTGAGTACTGTACAAAGTGTACAGTTAAGGGAGTAAATGTATAGTATCTGCTGTACACGTATACTACTGAGTACTGTACACCGTGTACAGTTAAGGGAGTATATGTACAATATCTGGTGTACCTGTATAGAACTGAGTACTGTACACAGTGTACAGTTAAGGGAGTAGATGCACAGTAAATGCTGTACACGTATACAACTAAGTACTGTAATGCTCGGGTTTGCCGGGCAGTTCTGAAACCTATGTATTATGTGATAAAATTACAACTGTAACTTTCATAGGTACATATATACTTCAGTCTGAATATAACTCTGATGTCTTGATGACATGTACATCTATAGATACATTGTTAATGCAGCTTTTAGACTTATATGGTAAATCTTATAAACATAATGTTCAATGTGAATATTTTATAAGGAATATAAATCTGATCCACTGACGCATTCTTTACTTGTGAACTTGTTGTCCGGTATGGTTTCCTGTTCGATCCGTTTTACTAGATATATGGTGTGAATTGTAGATTTTGAAATAAAGCAACACATGTAATATATTGCTGTATCAGTTATTGAGGGCCAGATTAGTTTAATGTTCATTTGTGAAATGAATTTTCCTATCTTTATGATGTTGTACAGGTAGAAACACTAACAATATATTACAGAAACAAATTCGTTACAACCAAAGCCTTTCAACATCACTAGGAGCTTATTAGTGTTTTATGTCAGAGTATAAGCCAGCCATATAGCAGACAGCGACGATTGCAAATTTAATCACTCGTGTCGATAATGTGCCCGAACTCATAATCTTCTATTCTCATGCGAACACTAAATAATAAGGTCAAAATTGAGATTTAGGAAAAGTAGCAGATAGAGGAAAACAGTTTTGCTGAGGAAATCCCATAGAAGTGGGGCATGTTTGATTTCGTGTTTCCAACTAGACAACACAAAAACTTCTGAAGAGCTGCTTGCGCCATTAGTCTGTTACAAAATGACGAGAGTAACAGCTGGTTTAAATATCATTAATGCAAACACACCCAAACCTCTTCACTTCCCAAATAAAATCTGTGTATAAGTTTTCTTGGTTATTATATTTTCAACAGTAGTTTGGTTAAAGGAAGTTGAAATTATTACTAGCATATATACGACATCCGCCGTTTTTCATCGGAAATGTTGAGAACGTAGAAAGCTTCCTCTGTGTGCGACCAACACAGTTTTCAGTGTAGTAATAACATGACATTATAACATCATGGACTACCTCTTATGTTTCTGTTTTCTGTGTATTTTTCACATTTCAACGGCTTCAGGTAAGGACCAAATATCACTTTACATATCTTTATATCTGTTTCAATTGCAATGCGTCGATTGTACAAGATCTTTTATATGTTTTCATCCGTCGGTGAAATGCTCGAGGATTGGCAAGTTGTAGCAATGTCTCCAAAAGAGATTACTTTTATTCCGTCATATTCTCCTCCTTTTGATCATTACTAATAGTATATTATTAGTATTTATCTACTAAATACGATTTTAATGTGACATTTTCCATAGATCATATATCATTTACATGAAATCTCCTTTTCTCCCAGACGAGAAAACATTTATCCTTTTTTCAACTACAAATATTGGGAGTACTTAAGTAAACTCGTTTAAATGCATTTGTCTCATGAATGTAGCATTGACACCAGGTTTCCCCAACACACAACAAGTAAACAAATTTAATGTATTAGTAAGTTGACTTAATTAAGATTCAAACGCAAGTCTTATTTACGATGAAATCTACTAATTACAATAATAACTTTAAGTTGTTATGTAATTATAATTCCGAGATTGCTCTCTCATCCAACCTTAATCAAAGTGAAGCCTCCAGAGGGTCAGAGACGTTGGTAATGATTAGAACTTAGACTTTTGAAATCAAGTATTTATTATGTTACAAAATAAACCCGAAATTGTAAAGTATTTCTACAAAGTATCAACAAAGTTTTTGTGTTATTTATCGCACTTAGCTCTAAAACAACAAGGAAAATATCGAAAAATAAACAGAATTTCTTAGGACAATGGCACACTGTTTTCCAATAATAGGTCGAGCACCTTTGTGATTCTTTAGAGGAATCACATAAAACACAACATCCAAAGTGTTAAAACTTATATATATCAACCATGATTTTTTTTATATAAGGCCACAGAGTTAGAAGTGTTCTCCACCAGGTGGAGCAATTGTCCAGTGGTACAAAACCACCAACGAAAATACCAACATGACAACAGAATATCTGAGGACATTCCGAGGGGTACATTGCATTCTTGTAACTGATCCTCTAAAAAGGCAAGTCTATCCGTTTTGACTGAAGGAACTTTTTGTTTCGTATGTTTCTGTCAAAAATTGGTTGCATAATGACTCTAGGACCAAGAGGAATTTACTACAGCGACACACACAGAAGAACGAAAAGTACAGTATTAAAGTGAAGTACACGCAAGTGTTAATCAGTGTGTGAACTGTGTGGTAGCGTGTAGGAGGGGAAGGACATTAATCAATTCAAACATTTCCATGACTAATTCAATGTATCACACAGATGTATAAATTATACACCGAGCACAAAACTCAAGTAGAAACAATATCTACGAATATTTTCCAAAATCGAATTACTTGCTGATCAATACAACATTTCTTAAATCTTATAAGACAACGATAAGGAAACGGATAACCCTTGTTTATAATTTATCTTTAAACTTCACAAAAAAAAACTTGTTATCATTGACTTTGCACTTTGTTTACCTAATCTCTCTCAAAATTTCTTACCGTGGTCCTACAAACTACATACTCAATAATAAGCTAGTTGTGTGTGTTGACGTCAGCTATGATCATTCAAGGACGGGTAGGAGATGAGTGGATATGTTGAGGGCATGTATTTTGGGAAGGCTGTGACATGTTCGTTTAAATCTCCTTACGAAACTGAAGCCAAAATAGCAGTACTACCACAATGAAGTTCACTACTGAAGGCACCAAGTAAGACGCCCCTCCCAATATCATTATACTGACAGTGGACACATTAGTTGTTACACTACCAAAACGTTGAACGTTAAGCAGGAAGTAGTAACAACCATTTCTGAAGACTCTGGTATGTCCCGTCCAGGGGACATAACCCAAAGTTTGCCCACAGGGTCAACATCCAATATAAAGTCCAAATGTGAGATAGTGTCAAGACAGATATGAGAAAGAACACATACCCTTACAAAAGGGAGAAAATATAAAAGAACCCTATTAATAACCATGTAATATGGACAGCAGGTTAAAGAAATAATTTAGAAGTAGGCCGAATACAATGTTAAAATTGAAGACACCCAATTAGCTTTCGATGAATCTGAAACATATGCTTTAAATCTTAAACATATGCTTCTAATTTTCAACATAAGCCTCTAAAAAAGGATTCACTTGATAAACATTTGCACTCTACCGTATCTAGTTTAAAAGAAAACTTTTTCCTGTGCAGCACTAGTCAATACATTTTAACTCTATTACAACGTGAGAACATAACTTCGTGAAAACACAACCGTACTGATTGAATTCAAGCTTGCTAAAAACAAATATCTTTGCTGAATAAGTTGGCTCTTGCACCCTACAATTACACATACTGAAAAACTATACCCTTACTTTAGCATACTTGTTCTTATGACTGAATAAACGAGAGCTTAGCATAAAAACATAAGTGTGAAGATCGATAATTCAGTCACTTTTTAATCCTTCATTCTTAATTCTACATACGACAACGATGTTTTTTCTTTGTTATTCAGAAACGAAATACTTCATTTTTATCCAGTGAATGATATCAATCATTTCTACAAGGTGCCATTAACACCGGAGTTGTATCGGAAACATTTCACACGATAAAGTGTAACTATCTGGCGGATAATTTTGACATCTCACTTGAATGAAACCGCATATTAAACGAAATCGATGTTGTATACAATGATAAAGAATTAAGTTAGTAATTTTTTCACGGACCAGCAAAACTTCATTTAATAAAATTTTTATATCGATAAACATCGTTTCTCTACAATAATTAAAAGCTAGATTTACTATGCTTTTCATTGATAATTAAACTTCATATTTCAATTCTGAGTTAAGTAATAAGAAGTAGTGTTTGCATAAATGAGGATCCCAGAAGTTGATATTCATGATTAACTTATTAATAAGAGCTGACATTCCTGGAACTTATTTCACACTGAAAAGTTACCCGATTTGCTGTAAAATGTCTAAATGATAATGTGACATCTCTAACGTGGAATATTAAAACTTTACACGGCAATATGTAGATGAAGCAAGAAGAGCTGACATTCTAGTCTTATCAACAAAGTTATTTTTATTGTCCTCCATGTAAATCTTTCTTTGTGTTTTGCCTTCAAATCTGTGATTTTGAATTTGTGTTAAGATTGTGGTAATAATACTAAGATTCCCCATTACGACATTCCTTTCAGTGAACGTTGCTCTAAATAAGGCAGCTCAGCAGAGTTCTACGTACCAGACCTATGTAGCTGCAAATGCTGTCGATGGAAATGCCACGGCCGACTGGACAGTGGAAACCTGCAGTCATACTGATCCAAATGACCCTGTCCCATATTGGGTGGTTGACTTAGGTGAAAGGATGACGTTAGAAGGCTTCAATATTACTTACAGACAGCAACGTAAGTACCTGGCACTTTTTATAAAAAAAAACAAAAGAAAGAAACATCTTTACAAACATGATGATAACGTATCGATTAAACATGTTACATAGTAAATAGTTAAGGTGTAAAAACACACACAATATGCATTGAGGCTGAAGTACCTGGTCAAGTGCGTAGATTATTGAACATGTTATATATACTCAGATGTGATAATAATGAAAATTCAGTACATGTTATAGTGTGCTATCTATCATTAAGTAGAAACGCATTTATTCAGTATGTGGCTCCTACCTGACATTTTTGTCCGCAAATAAACGCCGGGTGAAAAGAAGAAAACTCGATAAAGCGAAATAACGAAAAGACGCTAAATCGGGGTAAAAAACTTAACGCCTTGTAGTCTGTTTTACCTCGGTTTGACTCCTTTTCGTTTTTTCGCTTTGGCGGGTTTTCGTCTTTTCGTTTTTTCGTTTTTTTTTTTTTTTCTCAACAGGCAACAAAACCAAAAGGACAAAATGTCAGGTATAAGCGACCATAATTCAGTGAGTAGAGCATCCTTTGTCATCGTTTACGTGACCTTTGGTAAAACAGCAAGCTTCTTTGATTTCAAAATGACCCTGACTAAGGCGATCAACACTGCAACATTTCAAGTTTGTTGGTTATAGAAAACGCATCATCTGTTCAAGCATATTTGCTTTAAAATTGTTGTTTCAGTTATTTGAAAAATACGATAAAGAAACACGTTTGTCAGCTCAGGAGAAAACGATGTATATAAAGGTTTGTTACATAAAAACAGTCCAAGTGTGTAAATCATTAAAAATATGTTCCTTACACAGATGTGCAAGGTATAGGAAATACAGATGACCACAAAATTGTCGGTTAAAGAAGTAAAACCTAAATACGAGTTAATATCAATGAATAAAATTATTTACCATGACAACATCAGTCGTATAAATCTTCCTAATTTAAAATTTGTAATATTAAAGTATCCACGGAATAAAATGACTGTTGAGATGGTTTTGAGATATACATGTTATGAAGACTGTATATTCATTTTCACAATCTGTCTTTAAATTTTGAGGAGACAGCATCGCCAGCATTTGACTGAAATTTCACCATGGAAACGCTTATGAGATATCCCTTTTTAGCAAGAGTCTCTTTTTAATATTTATTATTCGCATATTTGGTCCGTTAAATGCCAAATGACGTATTAGTTTGAAAAATGGTTTTGTTAGCATAAGTTAGTTAAGTATATTATTGATGTTGTTGTTTAAATGCGTTGACTTTAGTCAGCCACTTATATTAATTTTGAAGATCACTTGCAGGTTTAAGGTAGTTTATATATTTCTAAATGAATTCTCGTCTTTTTCAACACAGAGCCCCTTCGTATGAGTGGGTTCAGACTTATCGTGTCAAATACTTCACTTATGGTGGATGGTATCTCTGGTACACTGTGCTACGAGGAAGCTCGTCTTAATCCACCTACAATACAGTACATCGATTGTTTCGTCATCGGTCAGTATGTTTTTTATGAAGATCCGACAACGGCGCCAGGAGACTTAGTCCCAATCATCGAGCTTTGTGAATTAGAGGCGTTTGGTATGATATCATTAACGTGTCCAATACTTTTGAAAATCTTAGACATTTACCGCACATGCAACTTTCCACACTACCTCAACTTATGTGCTCTAAAATGCAAATCAGACATTCTAACTTTCAACAGCATTATCTATAACCTTTTCTTGTCACTTGTAGCGTACACGAATACATATTCTAGGGAACAAACTGTACACACACATCAAATAAGTTTTGCGTTCATGGGTGCTAAAATAACAAACAGTAAAACATGTGACTAATATTAACTCGACTGTTTATTTCTTTCTCATTTTGTGTCGTATAAAGGTTGCCGTAACGGATCCTACGGACCAGATTGTAATACCTCCTGCGTGGAAGGCTGCCAGTCTGGAATCTGTTATCCAGACAATGGAACCTGTGTGTATGGCTGTAAACCAACGTGGTTAGGTGACAAATGTGACCAAGGTAAATTCTTTTGAGTGACCAAGGTTAAACTTTTAACCCACTGTTTATAAAGAAAAAGGATCATCACGATTCACAGTGACCATTGTAAGACGTACTTTTGTTTAACATCACTGTTGATATCGCAAAGATTTACCATCCTCTTGGGTTTTCAATGTTTAACATCGTCAGTTTCAAAACTGTTTTTTTTTTTTTTTTTTTTCATATTGAAGATTCCCAATTTTTCCCGGTGACTAAAGTTACACGTTATAACTGTTGATATCTCGACCAAGACATCATAGCAGTAATCTTAATATTCAATATATCTAACAACTTCGGTCCAGTGACCACTCTTACCTGTAATCTTCTGTTTGCCAAATTGTCTGTGATGTAAGCTAGGCGACTCTTTCTAGATATGTTATTTATCTGTATTGTCAACAGTTGTACGTTTCAGATCTGTGATAGAATGATATAAGGTAGAAAAGGATAATGGAATAAACTCGGAGGATATTTCTTTAACACCTTTATTACATCTCCTGGATAAATACTGTCCATCAGATGTAAAGTAGTCGGAATAATACATAAAAGAAATGCTTATTGATTTAACCTAGTTATGATGGAAATGATAGCTGATACTAAGTGAAAGGATGGAGAACACTTTTAAGTGTTTGGTTTTCGTGTCCCTATTCACTAATAGGCAATCCACTATATATATATAAACATTTTTCGAAAGTGACAGAAATACATTTGTGTTAGCGATGGTGTTTTCACACAAATATGCCTTTGAATGTGCTTTAAAATTGGGAGGTTGGTTATCTATGAAAAAGATATGTATCCAATGATAGATAGAGTAAACGGCATTTCTAATTCGTTTAGCCATGGGAATTTTAATGTTTCCGTTTTGCTTTGATCCTGTGAAGTGATAAATAATGAAAAGGTTCATAATAAAATCTAAAATCGAAAAGTTTTATTTTATGTCTGATAACCTTTTTCGAAAAAATATTCGTTGCACTTCAATACCTTTCCATACTTAAACATACAGTTATTTATGTTTGACATATTTTTATTCTTGAAACACTCATTATATGGTCTGATGTAGTTGATTCAATATCTATCATAATATGAAACATCTCCGAGCGCGACTATCCTGTCTGACATGTTTTCTTCTGTTCTGAAGCAAGAAATTCAAATGAAACATTTTTGTAATTTTAGTGTGTATGAACGGTACCTGGGGAGCCTTGTGTAATGAAACCTGTTTCTGTGACATTGACACGTGTAATGTCTCTACTGGGATGTGTCAGGAGGACAGGTGTCAACCTGGATGGCAGGGCATACATTGTAACCAACGTAAGCAAGGAATATCGGACATCATCCTTGTGACTTTTCTGAAAGTGTAAACTTGGAATCCATCACTATTTATAGTGGCTAAGTGACGATAAGTTTAAATCTTGGTTCCCATGCTAAGCCATATCCTTTTAGTGGTAGATATTACATACATATGTATAATGTAGACTCCCAATACACTGTTGTGTTGGTGAAGTTTTAGTGTCAATCGTCTGTTCGTGTGTTCACACTATGGTTTGTTTGGCCTTTGTTTTGAAGTAGAACGTGTGATTGTTTTGTCATAGTTTCGACCACATGAATAAAACATTAGTGAAATTGTGTTGCATGTGTGGAACCACGTATATTTCACAAGAACCTCAAAAATGAAGCATTTCTTTTTATCCGGGAAAAAATGATAAAATGTTTATCATTTTATAAGCTTTAAGATGTTGATTAATTGGTCCGAACAGCATCCATAGACAAAAACAACGTCAATTATCATGTTCTCACTGTAATCATTAATTAAGTCAGGGTGTTAAACATATATCACTTCTGTACTGAGCCTGGTAATGTTTCAAAAACCGGATCGCCAACCTGAGCATTAGCTGCCAATAATTTTCATGAAAGTTTTCTTGATACTAAGCTTATACATTTTATGGCAGAGTTATTTGCCTTGTTATGATTAACAGCTGGTTGTACCTATGTTTTTGTTTGATTTACTTTGTAACGTGATAAAACTATTCATGTTGTTTGATATCAACATTTTAGCGTGCGATTGGTGGACGTTTGGTCCGTCTTGCAATTTTACGTGCAACTGTCTCTTCGAGGAACTTTGCGATCCAGTGACCGGAATATGTCCGGGAGGGTTATGTTTTGACGGCTGGAAACCGGACACCTGCCATGAAGGTTTGAACACCGTTTTGTTACATTCTGACATTGGATATATCCCTAATAGCAATAAGCAACACTTGTGACATGTTAACAATTTCCATGATAAATACTTAGTTCCGATCTTTGCCGTAAACCACATACCACGTTTTAAACCATTCGAATAATGGCACATGAAATATTCCCATCTGCTTTGCTGTCTTGATATTATTCATTTATGAAATTTAAGAATTTCATTAATTTTATAGGGTTACTGCACTTATCAACTGGTCTCTGACATGGTTTCCGACCAAATATGGTTTTCCTCAGTCCTCTCCTTGGCTTCATGTTTAAGGCCCTAATCATCTGTGGTGAGTCCTTGAAGGACGAATCAGCTGTATGATGTAGCATCACTGACAAAGTTTACCTCTCTCTTTCTAAATTTGTATTGAAAGGTACTGTTCACTTGTGTTTTTGTTCGATATTGGATTTTGAATAAAGGATCTCTTCGATCAATTTCAATCGATGAATATTTGAAAGGTTTTCTCCAAATAAATCGAATCCCAGTCCAATTGATACATCATTTTGAATTTCGTTCAAATCACAAAAATTGTGAATGCTCAGACTGATATGTTTCCAACACATTCAAAAAGAGCATTGTACAAAAGACAAACAAGTGAATGAAATCTTTCAACAGAAATTTAGAACCATATATTGTCAAATAATTAATCAAACTGCATCACAAAGCCTTTCCTCTCTCTGCGACTCGTCAGTGGTGCTAAAGGCTAAATTTGAAACTTGGGAGGCGACTGAGGAAACATGCCATTCAAACGCCTTTATACAAACTGACACAATCTTCAAATTTAAACAAAATGATTGAATATGACAAAATGATCGTGTTACTATATGGTTTTTCTTGTCTCAAACAATGATATATGAATTAATTAGCTTGGCATTGCTATTTGACATGTTTTATTTTAGTTTGTGATACTAACATGTACGGCCCTGGCTGTAACCTTACTTGTGGTGAATGCTACAACAGTACGTGTGATCATGTAACTGGTTATTGCCCTGGACTGTGCTCACCAGGATGGAGTGGGCCAATGTGCAGTACACGTAGGTTTTATGTGATTTCAATAGTAAAAACTTACCATCATCCATAAATTGTTAAATGTGTAAATTCGTTTTGAATATGCAGTTGATAATCTGTTTAAATTATGTGATTTCACCATAACATGTCTAGGAAGTTTAAACAATAAGAAACGATTTCAAAAATTGAAATAATAATAATGATAACCTTAGAATGACCATGGTATAAGATGTGCTTAATTTACATAAGTGGTAGCCAATCTCACATTAGTGTACCTCGCCATTCAATGATGCGCAATACTCTACCCTATTAGCCTGTCCAGCTGGTACGTTTGGTATGAACTGCACAGGAAGTTGCTACTGTCTTCCGAACGGAACATGTGATCCGGTCAGCGGATATTGTCCCAATGGCGACTGTGACAGAGGATGGATGGGATCAACCTGCAGTGATAGTGTGTATTATTTTTAATTCTAACTGAAGTATTTTTGAGCTTGTACAACATATACCGAGAGGTTTCTATAATCTTATTTGATTACGATACGTGATATTTCTACATATTACACGAGAGCAATTAAGTTCAGATAAGATATTTCAAACTAATAAAATTCTGAGGTGCAAATTCAAAGAATCTCCTATGTTAACCAAGAAAATTTGCAGATATTTTATTCCGTATCTTATTTCTTTCTAACTCTCAACCCTCTAAGATCTAAAGACAAAATTATTCATAATGTTAGTGCTAGTCAGAGTCAAACATCATGCTTCTCTCTAATCTATGTTAACACCATTGCACTTTTTTTACAACATCTTATATTCTTCTAAATCTATTAGAATTGGTATATCTTGGTCAAGCGTAAATTTTACAAATGATATAACAAATAAGTCCAAACATTTCACCGCTGATATCAGGCCTATATCGTGTGTCAAGGGGTTGGGTAGAAGAAAGTGCCATGACCTCACGGTTGGCAGATAATCATGATAACAGACCTTATAAGATTTAGGTTTCATTCAACAGTAAAATTTGTCAGAGATACATTAAATAGAATGCCTTACATAAAGTTTCATGCAACAGTATATTTGGCAAAGGAAGATATTTTCACGGCAGAAGATTGGCAGGGAGAGGATGTTTTCGTTCTGCATTAGACTTAGTAAAGGATTCTTGGTTTTGAAGAACAACTGATTATAGGAAGGTTGTATCCTTCGATAGACTTAACTAAGGAATGGCTTATTCAACGTTAGACGTTGACGCGGAAAGTTTTGTTCAAGAACAGACTTCACAGAAGGTTCGAGGTTTTCTACAATTGTAATATTTAAACGTTGCATTCACTGAGGAAGGTTATCCACAGAAGCTCGGTAAAACTTACGAATTGTTACCAGGTTTAAGTCGTGTACTTAACATGATCTGATTTGATTCTTTATGACAATTGTTGCAAAATGTTTGGAGAAAAAATTGTCGTACTGGGATGTTTTGCTGTATATTAATATAACGATATATGTCCTGTTGTCTCGGTTTCTCCTCGTTGTTTCTGTCACGCTGTCTTCTTCTATATGCCAAATAAAATTAACTCAAACCACCAGCCTGTGTCAAGATAAATAAGAAATTAGAATACCTCATAAAGGGCTTTACCATATACTTTTATCAGATACACATCTAAGTCAGACAGTCATATGTATCAATATAATTGTATATGTTCGTTCTTTCTTCTCTCTTTCACACAACCTCTGCTAAACGCAATACATTTGTGAACTATTTGGACCGCATTTTTTATTATACAACTTTTCCTATTAACAGCATTTGATGTTAATCATGTTACCCATTGATTATTTTCAGATTGTGCCTGGAATAAATTTTCGTACAATTGCAATGAAACCTGCCATTGTATTAACAATGAAAGTTGTCCTTTTGAGTATTGTTTAAATGGCTGTGAACCGGGATACATGAATATATTCTGCAGTGGAGGTAAGATTTATGAATGTAGCATCAAATCATAATTGCTTATGTAGAATTTGAAAAGCATCATTCAATCTTTAAAAACTACGTATAAATTTGGCATTTGATTTGTTTTTAGTTTGATGAGGTTCGTAAAACAACAGATTTTATATATATATTGATTATTCAAGGAGGTTAGGTATCTTGTGATTCTTCAAAACAAATAATTTTGACGTATGTAGGGATTAATATTTTGAAAATTGCTTTAAAGTCAGAAAACATTCTTACTTACAAATACTAAAGCGTCCATGTTAAACTCTGCTTGAACATCTTTCCTGGACTATCCGATGTGAAATTGACCCCATATTCTTATTACAGTGTGTGATATGTACAAGTATGGCATTGACTGTCTGAGTACGTGTGGTCACTGTAAGGACAATGAGACATGCTTTCACGTAGACGGAATTTGTTCTAACGGCTGTGAACCTGGGTATCTGGGAAACAAATGTGACACAGGTATGTTAAGGAATAAATCGAAAAAAAAACAGTTTTTATACATGTTACCTTGCTACAATGTTACCATCATCAAAAACATTAACATAAATTGATATTTTCCGATTTTTATGATGATACTAAAAAGATAAAGATAATTCCTGTTGAACTGAATGTCCGCCTGTGCTTTACTTTTCAGTATGCGAGTAATGGTGATTTATTACATATATTACTTTTTTTCTGTTCAAACGCAAATGGTTGTGTTGTTAAAAAAATAATTTTTTTATGCGTATTAATTTGATTTGTTTCTTTTTTAATGAAGTTGTATAATAGATAGACAATCTAATGATGGTCCGTTGAATATCAAATGATTCATGCATGTGATAGAATACGCATCTCATATCAATGGCTAAATTAACAATACTTACATAGTCTTGATATAATTGAATCGTGAAAATGCCAGTACCATATTCGTCAAACGATCTAATATTTACCAGAAGTCTTTTTTTTCCAGAATGCTCCTTCGGAACGTTTGGTCAAAATTGTTCTCAGAATTGTTACTGCATGATTGGCGACTGTGATCATGTCACTGGCAAGTGCGACAGAGAAATCTGTCAGGCGGGATATAGGGGGCCATCCTGTAGTGAAGGTAGGTTCTTATCTGTGTCAGGCGGGATATAGGGGGCCATCCTGTAGTG